GGACTTCTGCTATTAAATGAAAACATACAGTCAGACATTAAAGCAGACACATCAAGACTGCACTAAACCCTTATTGTAGGTCAGGGTTTAATAGTATTCTATTGAATTTGAATCCAGTACAGAGCAAGGTTATAATCGTTAACAAAGACGAACAAAATAACGAAAACTAGATGTAAAAAAACATTGTTGTTAACTGAAATAAAAATAAAAACGAGGCTTTACAAAAAAACGATAAACTAAAACTGGGTTGAAGGTTTGCAAAACTAACTAAAATGAAAGAGTAAATGTCCTTAGTTTTTGTTTATTTATTTATTTTATAGGACCTAATAAGCCCACATTTCAGGTGGATATGAAGCCGGGGGAACTGACATTCTGGGGCAGTTGAAATGCCAAATTTTGCATGCCTGCCAAGAATTGTATGAAAATACATTAAAGTTCTGCTTTTAAACACCATACTATTCTTTGTGGGGTTTAACAATAGTTATAAGTGATCGGTATATATTTTATGAACGTTAAGAATCGTTACTTAGGAAAAGTACCATTTCTTGAGATTCAGCAAAAACATCTGGCGTTAACCATGTTCAAACAATGTCAACAGCAAAGTGTCCTAAAAGGACCTTAATAAGTGAATGCATAATTCGGCAAAACGGATGCTGTAGGCTACCTGCCGAAATTTGCATGTCTTTTCTCAGTAAAAAAAAAAAAAGCCTTACCTCCCGCATGATGTATGCAATTCACAGCAGGCATGCAGAATTCGGCCAGAGGTAGACTGTGTCTGACTTGACGGCGCAGTTTTTTTTCCCCTATGTATCAAGTCAGCGAAAGTCAGCCAGCTATCTCGTACAGACCTGTTGACTACAGGTTATAGCTTGCTAACTTTCACAGCTGTTTTCGAAAGTTATCATAGCTCTCCTTATTTGCTGGGCTCCTTACATTCTTGCTAATAACTGTTTTGCAGATGGGTCCCTGACATTGACAGCGTTGTGTTGGACAGATTTGTGCAGCGGTGTTTATGATACCAATCAATCAATTATTATATATATATTTAACAAAAATAGTATAGTAAGTATAGATTACTAGCTAATTCAAGACAGTAGTTCATTGCACGTTTCATAAAGAGCAGGTCTAAACCATACTCTTTGTAATTTTATTTACAGAGCCCCAACAATTCCCCCTATGGGCAAGCACTTGGCACAAAATTACGGGAGGGAAAATGTCTAGTTACTAACATGCATTAATGGGATAAGAATGCATACTGATGGAGAAGGACAGGGGGAAAGAGGAGCTCAGTGCATCATGGGAAATCCCCCGGCAGTCTAGGCCTATAGCAGCATAACTAAGGGATGGTTCAGGACTCACCTGAGCCAGCCCTAACTATAAGCTTTATCAAAGAGGAAAGTCTTAAGCCTACTCTTAAATGTGGAGATGGTGTCTGCCTCCTGAACCCAAACTGGAACCTGGTTCCACAGGAGAGGAGCTTGATAGCTGAACGCTCTGGCTCCTAGTCTACTTTTGGAGACTCTAGGAACCACAGGTGCATTCTGGGAGCGCAGTGCTCTGGTGGGGTAGTAAGGTACTATGAGCTCTTTAAGATAAGATGGTGCCTGACCATTAAGAGCTTTGTAGGTGAGAAGAATGATTTTAAGTTTTATTATGGATTTTGACCCCCAATGGCATCTAGTGGTGGAACCCATAGTCAGTTAACTCTTTACCCTCTGGGGGAAATGTTTCAGGGCTTTAGGTGTTGACAGCAGAAATCTGAACAATACAAAACAACGATAGCCAGGCCAAGACTTCCTCTTCTGAGTGCGGGTCATAGTTTACAATCCAGTGTTTCCCCTGTATGCATTCAGGAGCGGTGGTGTGGTGCTGCTGAATTATGACTGCTGCTACTAAAATTTCAAACAATCATTATTATATCAATGCGCTACTAATTTTCACTCACACACTATGTGAGCGCGGTAAACCTCATGCCTTGGCACGCTTCCTCTCCTCATTCTTTAAAGGACATCTAAGTGACTGGTGCTGTTATAAGAGCAGCGTAACTCCTGTAAGGAATCAGGAGGTGCGTAGCGAGTGTTTGATTGTCCGAGCGGCAGAAAGTGATGGTGAACGCGAGCAGAGGAAAATATTCTGCCAGTAAATGTAGGCTACTGTGTCGGTTACAGTGTGTCAGCTTCTCAAGACCATGAAACAAAGTGAAGCCGGTTGCACTACATCCCCTCTTTAGCTGCTATGTAACTCAACATTAGCTCAATTTATAGAAAGTAACTGGACGCTGTATTTTATTACTGCCTACTTGTCCAATGTTGAGAACATCAGGTACAAACTGAGACTAAACTGGTGTAGCCTGCAGCTCTGTCCTATACAGACTGGTTCGCCCTAAATTATTTTAAGTTTTCACAAAAGTCTGAAAAAGTCGTTGTTAGGAAAAGAAAGGATGGAGGACCCTCCCACCCCACTGACCGTGGCCACCACCAAAACATTCATCTGAAGCTCACATTAAACTGGGAAAACACTGAAATTTTAAGCTATTCTAACGTGCATCGCATGCTCATGGACACAGGAGCACTGCTGCTGAGACATGTTGTGTTGGGGTTTTATATTCAGACATTATGCACTACACACACAAATTCTTTTTGCTTCACCTCCACTGCTACAACTCCATTCTAGGAGGAAACACTGCAGTCCGATTAGAAACTTGAAAGCAAGATATCAACAGTTTAATTTAAACTTTTGCAACTTTGAGCACAAAATTAAGCCATTTGTCAAAAAATATTTGGCGAACAATGTGGGTAATCAACATTGTGATGAAATGACTCAGAAAAATATGAAATATCATAGAAATGTCAAAATACACTGGACCAGGCGATATGATAGCGTATACCACAGCCTGTCATGAGCTACTGCTTAAATATTGCATTCCTGTCGACAGATCTTCATAAATATTACACACAGAACCTTTAGATAAATAAATACTCAAATAACGTTAATACTTATTTTTATTATTAATGCATCAATTTGGAGGAATCATACTGGAAAATCCCCTCCAACACTAAAAATTACACAAACACACTTTCTCTGAACTTTCACCAAACTAAGGTTGGTTTTGGCACAAATAAATAAATAAATTCAACTGTGAAGAGAACCGACCTGCTCTGTGCAGCCGGACTTCAGGCTGGAACACCGCGTCCAGCAGCTTCCGGTGTCTCTGGTTCTCCTCTTTGGACCGACAGAGTTCCTGCTCGTACTCTGATATCGTCCTTTCAAACAGCCCGAATATCTCTTCAGCAGCCGCACTCAGTCGCTGCTTCACCAACGCTCTCAGCACCTGGACTTTACTCATTTTCTCCGAGCTAACTCCTGCAGTGACGTCTCCGTCCGCGTCGAGTCCGCGGTGATTTCTGTGAAGCGCGTGTCGAGGCTTGTGTTGGTGACGTATGTGGTGACGTTCGAATCCTCGCGAGCCGGTCGCACCACGTGACCGATTCAGGAAATGGTTCTCGGGTTTGGCGTGCGATTCAAAAGGAGCAGCAAAATGCGACGGACCCTCCTCAAGGTTTAGTGGACTTTTGATTTTAATTGAACACAGATTGCATCTACAGCTTATTTTAAAATACTAAAATATTTGATTGATTTTTTAAAATAATTTCAAACATTGTGATGAAAGAGGAAATTTTAGCTGAGTAAGACAAGCAGCAGCAAGAAAGGGTTGAGACTTTGTGTTTTTTGATTGAAGAATTAAACTGGGGGCTCTTACCCAATATTACCCTAATAATAAAAAACAGAAACCGCCTGAAACTGTGGAAAAGTTTAAATAAAAATGAATAAAATATCTCTATTATCTAAAGTCACAAACCAAGTAACACATTGGCATCATAACCCTCTGCCTTGTTTCCACTTTCCCTTAGACCCTGTCACTGTATCATGAAGACAGACTCCATATTAATAATCATCATTTATGCACCGGCATCACACACATCATTAATTTATTCAGTTCAAAGCTTCACACGCCAAAGCCGAGGCGCCGTTATAATCACTCTGCCTGTTTTACATTTACTGTCCACTTGATGAAGAAAAAAAAACAACTTTGACATGAACTGGCAGCAGAAATAGATGCTCTCTATTAGCTTCCGTTATAAGACGCACGCAGGGTGGATATTTCCCAAGCAGGTAAAGCAACAGTGAACACGCCGGTGCAAATTTTACTGGGTACAACGTTGGTTTCGGTTTTGATAGGCTTCCTTATTAACAAGCTTCCTCTGCGCACCTGCAGCTGAAACCGGAATCGCGGCTGGAAATCGCGAGTGCTGTGTCATTTTGGCCACTTTATAACACAAAGCCCGCCGCTGATGGAGAAAGTCAACAGGGCCAACAAATGCAGGGAGAGAGAAAAAGAGGTCACGCCGCTGTGTTTGCAGCAGAGATGTATGTGCACGCTCGTGTGGGAATATTAGAACCGAAGGCAAAGAAACCCTAAAATAAAGGTGGAGAATGAAGTAGATTTAAAATTTATTTTCTATTTGACCCTTTTAAAAATTATATTTTAATGTGTTTTTTCTTCGTATTTCCCTTTGTTGCTTTTATGTTTGATGTAAAGCACTTTGAATTGCCTTGATGTAGAAATGTGCTGTACAAATAAACTTGCCTTGGCGTAACCCTAAGAAACCAGGATAAACACAACTAACTAACTTTCCTAAATGGTTATTCACTCAGTGGTCAAATGTAGCAAAGAACACTTACTAAAGTACTGCAGTTAACTACATATTGGAAGTGCATGTTCTTTACAATTGGTGTCTTTCTACTTCACTACATCTCATTGTGAAGGTTTGTCTTTGGGCTCTGGGTAACTGTGACGGCAGAGTTTTTACAAACCAAACAAACAAAGTGGATTGATGGAGGAAATAATCAGCAGAGTTAAACAGTTCAGAATGAGCTGCAGCTCAAAGTCTTTGAATGGAGCTCATTATTAGCCGCCACTTTAAGGAAACAAACAAATATTCAGAATAGATTTTCCCTTTATTTTAGTCAAATTAACAAAAATAGTGTGTCAGCTGTTTGTTCCACTTCCTTCTCACGGTGGCTCACAGATGCCCTGAGCAGAATATTGTACTTTTTACTTCACTACATGTATCTGACAGCATGTACTAGTTAATACAAAAATTAAGCTTTTTACACAAAACACATGAAGAGTTTATAAAATATGTTTTGTTATGAATGAAACTTCCAACATTTTGAACCATAGTGCAGCTGAAACGATCAGTCGATTAATCAATAACTGGATGAGTGTAAAACATCTTATGTTTCAGCTTCTCTCATGAAAATCTGCTGCTTTTCCTTTTAATTTATTTGTTAATAACATTGATCTTTGGACACAACAAGTACTTTAATACTCTAGGGACATTTTCACTGCAGGACTTTTGCTGCGGTTACAGTGTTCATAGTGTGGTATTAGTATTTTTACTGCAGTACTTCCTTTACCACTGGTCATACTTCAGCTAGGACACAGATTTCAACAGGAAAGAAATAACAAGGTAAAGTAATGAACCGAGGTTTCTAGGAGAGGACCAGGCAGCCGCTGGCCGACAGAGAGCTGCTTCACTGCGGGGAGCACCCGTAGTCTGACTGGATTCTGCTCTGACAACTACGCCGTTTACTCGTCTGAATGCAGCAGCTCGACTCCTGAGTGTGAGGTGAACCGTCAACTTTATGGTTTCTCCTCTGTGCAACATCAGTGAGTGATCCAGACTGACAGCGGTGGAGTGTTTCACTTCTGTGTGCATTTTCATGTGCGTCAACATTGTGTCACAGTCAGAGAAAAGTAAGTCCAACAGTTTGCAGCTAAATGTATTTTTGTACATGTTCCTGCACAACTGGGGGTTCAGCGTGTCGCTCAGGGACACACTGGTGGATGGGTCACAGTGGGGAATTGAACCCAGGTCTCACAGCTCCCTGTGTCTTTTCCACTGCGCCATCACCATGCTTTTTTAAATCTCATATCACTGATAGTAACTTCCTAATTCAGAGGGTTTAAACAAAGTTTAAGTTAGTTTTCAGCCTCAGAAGAGTCTTCAGTCTTGTCTTCCGTCTCAGTTTGTATACGTTTATCTTGATCAGAGTTCCTGGCTGGTTCTGGTCCTCCACAGTCCTCTCCATCAGCTTCGGTTTCCATCTGTTCAGCTGAGCTGCTGGCTCGAGGCTCTGCCTCTTGGTTCTCCTCAGGTTGGTTTCCATGTGAAGACTCGTCACCACACTTGTGGTTTTTGAGTTGTTTACACCAAGTGAATCTTCTGTCACAAACCCTGCAGCTGAAGGGTTTCTCTCCTGTGTGAGTTCTCATGTGTACCTTCAGAGAGCTAATGTACCTAAATCTTTTCCCACACTCTGAGCAGCTAAACGTTTTTTTGTCAGTTGTGTGTGTCCTACGACAGACTTTGACTTTTTCATTATTATAGTGAGAGTTTAAACCTGAATTAAGTTCTCTGGTCTTCTCCCCGTTACCATCACTGTCTTCAATATCCGAAGAGTCTTCAGTCGCGTCTTCAGTCTCAGATAGTAAAAGTCTATCTAGATCAGATATCCTGGCTGGTTCTGATCCTCCACAGTCCTCTCCATCAGCTTCTGTTTCCATCTGTTCAGTTTGGCTTTGATGAAGCTTTGAGGACTGAGGACAAACACACTTGTGTTTTTTGAGTTGACCAAACCAAGTGAATCTTTTGTCACACAGACTGCAGCTGTGTCTTTTCTCTCCTGTGTGGAATCTCATGTGTCTCTGCAAATGTTCCTTGCGCGTAAATCTTTTCACACATTCAGAGCAGCTAAACCATTTTTTGTCAGTAATGTGTGTCCTACGACTGACAGGGACTTCATCATTTTTGTGAGGGTTTACACCTGACTTAGGTTCTCTGGTCTTATCCCAGTCAGCACTGTCTTCAGTATCAGGTTCAGAAGAGTCTTCAGTCTCAGATTGTAAATGTCCATCTGGTTCATCAGAGTCCCTGGCTGGTTCTGGTCCTCCACAGTCCTCTCCTTCAGCTTCTGCTTCCATCGGTTCAGTTTGGCTCTGATGAAGCTGTGAGGACTGAGGTTTCTCTTCATCATCTTCTTCACTCTTCACAGAGACAAGAGTGAACGGGAACTTGGTGATATCAGCCTCCTCCAGTCCTGGAAGCTGCTCTCCCTCCTGACAGTTCCAGAGTTCCTCCTGTTCCTCTTTAATGTGTGGAGGCTCTGGGTCCTCATGGTCCAGACTGGGGTTCCTTTCCTCTTTAATGTGTGGAGGCTCTGGGTCCTCCTGGTCCAGACTGGGGTTCCTTTCCTCTTTAATGTGTGGAGGCTCTGGGTCCTCATGGTCCAGACTGGGGTTCCTTTCCTTTTTAATGTGTGGAGGCTCTGGGTCCTCATGGTCCAGACTGGGGTTCCTTTCCTCTTTAATGTGTGGAGGCTCTGGGTCCTCATGGTCCAGACTGGGGTTCCTTTCTTCTTTAATGTGTGGAGGCTCTGGGTCCTCATGGTCCAGACTGGGGTTCCTTTCCTTTTTAATGTGTGTGGGCTCTGGGTCCTCCTGGTCCAGACTGGGGTTCCTTTCTTCTTTAATGTGTGGAGGCTCTGGGTCCTCCTGGTCCAGACTGGGGTTCCTTTCCTTTTTAATGTGTGTGGGCTCTGGGTCCTCCTGGTCCAGACTGGGGTTCCTTTCTTCTTTAATGTGTGGAGGCTCTGGGTCCTCCTGGTCCAGACTGGGGTTCCTTTCCTTTTTAATGTGTGTGGGCTCTGGGTCCTCCTGGTCCAGACTGGGGTTCCTTTCTTCTTTAATGTGTGGAGGCTCTGGGTCCTCCTGGTCCAGACTGGAGCTTCCTTCCTGCACTTCTTTGCTCCCCGACAGCTGCTGGACGTCTGCTATAAAAGGAAACACACAGACAGACATTAAAGCAGACACAGCAAAACTGCACCAACACATTATTCAGGGCTCGACAATAATGGTGGCCCGATGGCCCGGGGCCAGTAAAACGTAACGCTGGGACAGTTAAATAGTAGCTCAACAAAAACATTAGTATTAAAAAAAATAAATGAAACAACATCGTGCAGTTGCTTTGCAGCTCATGGCGTACACCGTTGTCCAATCCAGAGTTGTAGTTACGTGACTAGTGGTTGTTAGATGCTATTTCTCTAATCTCAATCATTCAGCAACCTCTGGGTCTGAAAGTGAAACCATGCAGATGGAACTTAAACCTACATTCTCTATAACGGCCAGCAGGGGGCGAGTCCGCTGGTTGTACCTATACCGGTTCCATCAGAATTAATCAAGTGAGGCTACTTCTCAGCTGATTTATTCCCTCAGTAAACATTTTCCTGATGAGTTTCTGGTCTCAGTCGCTAGTTTCAAGTCTTCTTCAACACAGCATGATGTTTATTTTGTAAATACAATAATGCAGCATATGCTTTTGGGCGGGACTACCTAAGTTTTAAAAAGTTTCATGTTGAGCCCTGCATTATTGTAGGTCGGGTTCAACATTATTCTATTGAATTTTAATCCAGTACAGAGTCTCATTAAATGTAAGTTATGAAGGATTCAAACAAAACATTCAGTTGAGATCTGCGATCACATGTTGTCATCGAAAAGGGTCAACGTCAACAACCCTGTATTCTAACGTTAACATAACTATCCTTATTAGCTAGGCTCAGAAATTTACTTATTGGCTCACCTGCTTAAAATGTACTTAAGACATAACAGTAAATTGTTTTATAAACTTACAAGATGCATATTAATCATTCAACTTAAACCTCATTAATTAATTTTTTTTATGTTCTGCTTCAGCCTCATTTTTGGTGGGTCTCTGACATTGACAGTGTTGTGTTAAAAAGTAGATAACTTCTCAGAGTTAACTTTAACACTTTAGTTTTTCTATAAACACATGGCTCTGTTTCAACGTGTTTGTGTGTCTGTGAGTGAGCGGAGATGTTGAGTTCATCTATGCGCTGCGCCATGTCCTTTTAGGAAAGTCCTGCCACTTGGCAGCCATCTTGGCAACGCCACCGGGCAGCTATTTTGGACTAACAAGACCAGGCTCCTGTCTGAATGAAGGGGAGAGAGCCAGAACTGCACTTTCACTGGACACCGGGAAATAAAAACTACATGAGTAGAATCAGCAGTAAAATCTAAAACTGGCTGAAAAAGTTTGACAACTTTGCCCCAAAATAAGGTTTAAAAAGCGTTTTTCCCGACCGGCATGCGCAGTCTAAATGTATCAGACCCTTACTTTGTTTCCCGCTTTGGCTGTTAAAAGCAGACGATTGGCTTTCTAGCGGGAGGGGCGGGATAACCGCCATCTTTGCCATTATGGGCCTTCCCCATAGAGTGATATTGAGGATGTGATTGAATGGCGTGTTTCCTCTATATAAAACGTCTCTGGCTGCGTGCAGCTCCACAATGTATTAGGATTTTACTCACATTAAATAGTATATAGTATGTGGCGTTCAGCGTTGATATTGTTGCCTGGTATATTCTGTGTGAACATGAGGAGTGAAGCTACAGAGGCCTGTATGCAAAAAGACCGACGCCATGTCTGCAAAACCTAGCTAGCGTACGATAGGTACTGTTTGCTTAGAGTGAAGACAGGATGAGGTAATGTGTGTTTAACATCAGATAAAGTGAAAGCACCTAGGTTATATGGCATAGTGTTTGCTTAAGGATCTGATAACATACAATGTAAAAGAAGTAAGGATGAGTTATCGAAGAAGACACCTGCTGCAGGTCACGTAGCAACTGAATGAGATCATTTGCATGTACACTTTGTTGGACACCAAGCCTTTGTGAAAGATACAGCACTGCATACTCATGTTTCATATGTTAACCTATGTTATTCTTTTATTAATCTTTTTAAAAAATACAATTGTGTGTGTTTAAGTTTTAATGGTGTCAAATTATGCATGTATAGCTTTTAAAAAATACGGTAAGACTGAGTTTGAAATATAATGGTGAATTTCCAATCCAGTAATGTTAAAAATATGAAAGGGTAAACTATAATGACATTATGTTAAATAACTGCTAAAAAAGTAGTAACTTTGATGAAACAAGTAGGTAGAGAAAGGGTTAAACGTGTACATGTAAACGGCCACTAGATGGCAGCAGAGGACAAGAAATTCACCATTGGAAAAAGCAAGGAAGGCGCTTTTCGACCAAAAGTACCCGGGACTTTTTAGACATGAATTACCATTACCACCCGCGAGGTGCATGCAATTCTCGGCAGGCAGGCAGAATTCAGCACAACAGAAAGCGTTTCCCCTGCCGCGGGGGCGCGCGTGCATTCAGCGGTGAAGGCGGACCTTCGACTTCATCAAAGTGAAAGTGAGTTTTTATAGGTTTACGTTATGTGTCACCAAACTTCGTATTATTCATTGCACTCAATTGAGAATGTCCACACAAGACGAGCATTTAGTTTCACTCGTAAAGCAAACATTTATTTCGCGATAGTGTGGTGATGTTATAAATGACCACGCAGTCGATCACTTTGTCATCCATGTTACTGTTTAGAAGCTGGATTCAGACAGACTGTCACCTTTTTAAACAATATTTTGTCCTTATAATCCATGTTTCCATTGCATGGCCTTTGGATATTGCTGGAAATTGTCCCCCTCCTTAAAGGGTAAATTATTATCATAACAATTTAATAATGCATTTAAACAGAACTTTTACATACACAAAAAGCCATAACAGCAGCTTCCTACCAGGCTGGACATGCAGTCTGCCAAAATATGTTTCCCCCTCCATAAAGCACAGATGATGGCCTAATGTCAAGTATTTAGTTTTGTGTATACTTCACATCATGACTAATAACAGGGGTGAATTTGGAGAAGTTTCTTTTTTCCTAGCTTTTCAACTTGCCATAAAATGTATCCCCCCCTTTATAATGCACAGATGATGGCCTACTGTCAAATATTTAATTTATAAGAAAATGTATCCCCCTAAGTCACTGCATCTCCCAACAGACCTTCACAGTTGAATTTCAGCTTTTTATAACGTAACTTTAATTAAATTGTATTTCAATTTTATTTTATTTATATAGCGCATATAACAGGTATCTCTGAGCGCTGTTCATAAAGAGCAGGTCTAGACCGTAGTCTGTGATGTTATTTACAGAAACAGTTCCCACCAAGAGCAGCACTAGGAGACAGAGGCAAGGAAAAACTTCCTTTAAGAGGCAGAAACCTCGAGCAGAACCATGGCTCAGGGTGGGCGGCCATCGATTATAACAAGTTGTCGTCAGCTGAGTATTTCACCTGTCACCTGCTCTGCTCAACTCACACACAAACACACGTGTGCGATGAGATTTACGCCCGTGCTCTCCACCATCAACTCAGACACTCCACATCACTTGCAAATCTGCAAAGTAGAATGTATTATTATAATATTGGGTTACTTTTATTTTGAAATCCGGATGTTGTTAAAACCGTGTGTTAGAGGCTGTTTACTGTAACAGCTGTTTGTTGGAGCTGAGAACAGAAATGTGAAGAGAACCGACCTGCTCTGTGCAGCCGGACTTCAGGCTGGAACACCGCGTCCAGCAGCTTCCTGTGTCTCTGGTTCTCCTCTTTGGACCGACAGAGTTCCTGCTCGTACTCTGATATCGTCCTTTCAAACAGCCCGAATATCTCTTCAGCAGCCGCACTCAGTCGCTGCTTCACCAACGCTCTCAGCACCTGGACTTTACTCATTTCCATCGCTCGAAACTTTTCTCCACGAACTCACAAACACCGTTTTCACGCTAACTAGCACTGTGGCTAACTTGCGGTTAGCATGCTAAGCTACCTCCAGTAGCTCCGGAGGCTCCCGGGAGATGAGTCCGAGGTGAAGCCGGAGAGCAGCAGCTTTATCCGGACACACGGAGGCTCTGGCGGCTCCTCGCTGTTGGTGCCAGAGACTCTTTCTCAGCACAACAACGGGACAAAGCTGATCCGTCCCAAAGAGGCTGGAAGCTCCGCGCTCACTGGCCGAGCCCGGGAACCCGCCTCACTTCCGGGACGTGGCTTCAAAATAAAAGCCTCTGCGAGTTTTGTTTATTCTGACCATAAATCATTTAGTAAACGCTCTGGCTGCTGCTGACATTACACTTATGAGTTAATACTTTTAGTTTTTTGCTGATTTTCTTCAGCTGATGAAGACATTAAACAAAAATGGAGGGGTTCAGATTTTTCTACCCTGCACTGTGAATGTTTACACAGTGTGTTCAGTGTTTGTGTGAAATACTATTTATGCAAAAATCCAGGTAATTCCAAAGGGTTCATGTACTCTTTCCTGCAACTGCATGTAAATATATCTGTAAGCCAAAAAGTGAAGGGAGTGACCTCATTTGAGGAAATTATTTTTATTGTTGCTCCATCACAACAAAACTGAAATAACTCAATCCACTCTCCACAACAGTGACGACAATCCAAACAAACAATTTTTGTTATGTGGAGCAATGTTGCGTCCCCAGTACAAATCATGTTGTATTTTGTCTAAATTTGGACAAAGACTATTTCCGTTAATTGTTATTAATTATGATCACAATGAGATTGGCTTCTAAGTTGTTTTATCTACATTTTAAAAGCTTTGGTTTCAGAGGTACTATGGGATTTTGCCATGTCCCCAGTGTTGATCATTCAAATTAGATCTAAAAAATAACTTATAAGAACATATGGATTTCTAAATATTCCATTATTATCTAATTTTACTGTTCAACATCTATTCAATCAAATGTTATTTTTATCAAAATTGTTAACTTGTGGTGGACACTAACAGGGTGGACATTTCTATAGTATATACTGGGGTTTTGTCCATCCTGTTATGTTGGTATTTTTCCTTCATAGTTTATTGAAATGACCAAATATTAAGTGTATATTTGTATTTACATAAAGATATGGAAGGGATTCACTATACAGGCAAGACACACTGAGTAATTCTTATCACAATTCACTTTTCTTGAGAAAAAAAGTGGAACAATATGTCTCCTTTTCATAATGTGCGCTTGTTTTACTCAATATGGGCCTAGCAGACGCCGTTTAACAATAATTTTATTGTAAAACAAATATCTAATAAGAGTGAGGGACATATGATTTCTATAAAAATGTCATTTTAGTAGCATCATACCTTGAAAACACTTTTAAACAGTTATGTCCTTAACAGGGTGGACATTTCCCGCGTGTCACATGTTGTTAATATATCTAAATTTAATTCAATAAAAAGGTGGCTGAGCTCGACCGATATGTTTTTCATACTTTATATAATAGAACTATAAAATAGTTTATCATTTATTTACAAATCTGCAGGTTAGGAAGTTTCTGTAATGCGGCCGCTGTAGATCAAATAACTAGAATAGTGTTACCATGGTTTTGGGTGGGGCCAGTAAGATGTCTGTTACATTTAGACTGTCTAAGATATTAATGATGTTTATATTACAGAAACTTCCTAACTGCTTGGTAACCATGGTAATAAGGATTAGGAACTGATTTAGGAAAAAAACAACCAAAAAAAAACCAGCGACTAAAAGCAGTTTAGCTCGGCGAGATGAGAAAAGTGGCATCGGTTGCTAGGTAACAGACATAAAAGTTGATAACAGATGTCGGATTGAGTATTTAGGATTTCCTAACCTGAGATAAGACAGGATTCCTAAAGTTAGATTTGCTTCTGTAATACCAAACTGGGAAAAATCCTGTAGACTCTTTATGTCTGAACTTAAGACTGAAGACAGGAACTTTCTGTAACTCGGCCCCAGATAAATAGTTAAAGTGGATATTAATATCAGAATCGGGTTTATTGCCAGTTACATTTTCACGAGGAATTTGTCTTGGTATATTGGTGCTCAACAGAAAAATACAAAAATACAAATTAATACTATAACACAAAAAATACAGGATAATTAACAAGGAATGTGCTAAAATCCAGGTGTGGGAGCCTGATGGTGCTTTCAGACCAAAAGCGAGCGTTCGGGGCGGTGAGTTTACATACAAAGTCAATGCAAAGACGCGTAAAGCCGCGATTTCCTGTCGGATGTCGCGAAGGAATATTTTCAAGAGAGATTGAAGCGGGAGCAGGAGATTGAAAATCTGCTGGCCGGCTGAGAGCTGCTAAACTTGGGGAAGAGGAGCAGGAAGCAGCGCTGCAGCTTTCGGACAGATAAACACCCGTGGTCGGACTGGACTTTGCTCGCAACTACGCTGTTTGCTCGAGGGAGGAGTTAACTGCTTTTATTAAATAAGCTTTTTACTTTAGTTTATAGGATTACAACTTGATTTATCTTCACTCGAGCTTCTCAGCAGCTTCCGTGCACATCCGGCTCCAGTGTTGTTGTTAGAGTCGTTTGGCACTACTTCAAATTTATATAAAAACCGGGAGAAATTGCTGGGAGAAAAGAAAGCGAGGAGGTTGAACTACCTGGTCAGAAAACACGTGTCTGTAACTTTATTCCAGCTGTCGTTGTACTTTACTGTGACCAAGTTAGCATAGCATAGCCCTGATCGATCCAAACTCCATTCAGAAAACAAACATTTTAGAAGTTGTTGTCCTGCTGTCTCGCTGACAGACATGACAAAGCATGAATTCATATGTTTAACAAATCTGCATCATGTTGTCGTTATTTCGGCATCAGTTTGATCCGTTTATTGCTCTTTAATCACAGCAACATGTTCACTTTGGGTTCATACAGCTGGAGTAAAGGCGAGTTGTGTTTATTAACGTGATCGCGTTAAAATCTCTTTCTCGCGTTGTTTATGAACACTTGCAGCGAATGTACTCACGCGAGGAAAGCGTCGCGAGGTGAAAATTCGTGTTTGGTCTGAATGCGGCCTGAGAGTCAGGCCGCAGCCTTGTTGAGGAGGTCAGCTGCAACCGGAAAGAAAGTGTTCTTGTAAGCAAATTATTTTCCAACCAGTCAGACACACATTCAAGTTCACTTTGCAGAACGAACGTGTTCGGAGAGTTGAGCTGTGCCGGAGTTTCACAGGTGTGTCGCTAATTGCTTTTTAGAAATAAAAGGGTCTGAGAAAGGCAGGCAGAGGACCAAACCACTGTGAGGCAAACAGATTGGACTCGTAGTAGAAAACAAGATCTGTTAACCGTTTGGGTACCAGGTGCATTGACTAGAAACTGATGGACAACAGTGTTTAGATTAAAACTGTATATTTATATACTTAAATATAAATATTACTTGGGGCTGATCAGTTTCTCCTCTGGTAACACTGGTTTGAAGTTAAACCTACATCTGCTTTTCAGGATACTTTAATTAGTTTTTCTGATCTACTATCAACCTTTTCAATGAAGACGTCATTCTGTGGCGTTGTGTTAAATGCACCATCGGACACTTTGAAGGATAGGGGTGTACCAAAAAATTGATACAGCAATATATAGTTATACATTTTTCCATGATGCTGTATTGATATTCCAGCCCGTCATATCGTAAAATAAAGAAAAAAAAAAAAAAGGTAGCTCAATGCTAACGTATAATGGGAATCTCCATTAACGTGCTAACGGACATTAGCATCGCGATGGCGAAAATATTTCTTAACATCAACTACACATTTTGCTTCACATGCTGAACATCCTGAGTGACACCCTGTGTAAGTAGATATGTTTCCTGAGCTCTGTGCGAAATAAAAAAAAATGCTAACTTCACGGATTCGACCCGCCACTGACCAGCTACAGCAACCCCATGGGGACAAAACTCAAACCCAAAAATCCCGGTGGCCTACAAATACAGCGATCACCAGGTGGAGAAGGTTTGCATTTGTATTTTCAGCCAAAAATTCAGTAAATTCAGTTTATTTGCATTTTGATGTGCATTTTATAAAGAAATGTTGATTATGTTCATTTTTCCACAGTTGCTCTAAATTCTGTGATTTTAATTTACAGACAGAAAAACCTGCTGCAGAATTGTGCTGTTTTCTAACAGTTAGGATTTTCAGCAGAGAAATAGAGAAAACCTTTTGACGGGCATTTTCTATTCATAGTTAGATATTGTGATGATCACTTTAGGATAGCAACATATCGATTATCGCAGCTGTATCGTGATAAATTATCGTATCGTGAGGTACCCTGTGATTCCCACCCCTAATGAAGGACGGAGATTTTGCTTTTTACTTTCCTACTGTGTCAATAAAAGTATTATTTTTTTTCAATCTATTCACGTTTGTAACACTTTTCAGCGACTGATACACAATATAATATTGCTTAAACGGCTCCTAAAAGAGCCGCTTGTGGACAACACAGTGTTTTGTCACGAGACATCTCATTCAGAAGAGACACTCGCTGAGTTGTTGGCAGCCAGTCTTCGCTGACCTGGCAGTTGTCCCACCTCGCCAACTGGAAAGTTACGGAGAACACAAGTTGCCTTCACACAGTGCTTGATGGACCTCCATGGCACGCCTGAGGACAGAGGGTGGTTGAAGATCCGGTGCTCTCTTGGCAGGTTGGGCCCAGGAAATGGCCTGATTGGTTTTCCTGAGTGGAAAGGCCTCATCAGCAACAAAGACGTGTGGCTGGGGTCCTCGGTAATCAGCTGCTGGCATAGTGGCAGGTCAGCAGGCAGTTGGAGGGCTTGAGGAAAAAGTCCCACCATCACTTCATCAATCACCTGAAAACATATTGGGCATCCAATGCAGGAAGCTAAACTTTAAGAATTCACTCACAAATGCATTAATCATAAATTGTACAACCTGCACATAAACCACAATAAAGGTCATTTACAGATTAATACACCAAGAGTAAAGAACTTTTAACTTGATATGTACGAACTGATGATGTGTGGATTTCAAAAACGATGAAGTCATCTACTCTAAATTTGTGCAAATGTAGCCTATTTGAACTGTGATCAGCCTCACGAAAATGTGAAATATCCTGTCAGTCAACCAAATATTTGTTAATGTGTTCACAGGAAACAACTTTACACACTTAGTTTACACCAACTATAAAAGTGCTACTCACCGGAGACAGATGCACAGGCGCTCTGCAGCTGAGGCAGAACGCCTGTAGTTGGTGTCCATCCGTGAAATCCTGGCGCGTCCCAGGCAGCAGGCCATCACGCCGGGCGCTGCTCCGCCTCACGCAGATCCCGCAGTGAAACTCAGAGCGGTGAGGCCTCCAGATGATGCTGTGGGACTTCCACAAAAGGTTGACGGAAATAAACAAGGCTAAGTTATGCGGTATCCATGGAGGAAAGCCCCTCCTCCTTTCCAGAAAGAGTATTCCCATTGGCTGCCAAGGGTGAATATTCGCAGGCTGCAAAATACTCCAAAAAACACACAACTGTATTTGCGTAACACAAGCTGAAAGTTCACTTTGTGTTTGGTCTGAACCTTTAGTGTCTTTGTTGACACATTATCACCACCTGATACTGTGGAACCATTGGCTGGACCGCAACCCCAAACGGGTAACAACAAGGCTCCAGAGCATTACAGTGATCCAGGACGCCACCGAAGTCCACATCATGTTGATAATATCTTAAATAAATATATATTTAAAAACGTCACACCTGCACTTGAAAGTGTTGAAAGTATTTACTGTTGAATTTGTTTTGAAATGTCCTGCAGTGTAAAAAGTCTCTCAATCTGAACAGGTTTTAGATGCATCAGGTGTCATCTGGGTTTCTGAGGCGAGTACCAACATTAACCTTCAGGTGAAAATGTGCCCACTAACCATTTCACTAACTGTACTGTGCGCTACATACAGATCGAAGTAAAGTGCACATCTCCACATGTACAGTCGTTTGTAAGTAGTTCAGGTTAAACCAACAGGCTGACTGTCTTACATTGTTATTGTAAATGTATTATTAGTTCACCCCTATTTCAGATAATAAAGAGAAAGCCAGTATCAGTCGGTCATTATAAACGGCTGTGACGGCTTGTGCCTGATTCATTACGCTAAGAAAGAGAGAGCACACAACTGCCACACTAACACTAATGATTTACACCATTTATATCTACATTATTGAAAAGAACATTCAGTGATTGATCGAGTATGATTTAGAGTCATGAGATGGGCCTTCATAGAAAGCTGCGTTCTGTTTTGTTTCTAGAGCGAGGGCAGCAGGTAAAGAACACATTACTGATTTCTCTGCATTTCATCTGGGTTTTTGGTTAAAATTCACAAAATTAGCAACTAAACGATTTCTTTCCAGGATTAAATCTCACGACTTGATTATTTTTCAGAGTTTAAACATGACTGAGGCTCCCGGCTCTTCTTGCGACCATCAAAACTGACTTCAGTCTCGGAACAGTCTGATGTTTTGTCTTCAGTACCTGGTCGTAAAGGTCTACCTGGATCTGGTTCTGATCGTCTCTTAGTGTTACTGCGGGTGTGATTTGACACTGTGTCACTTACACTGCCGCCGAGTGCTTTCTCTCCGGTGTGGATTTTCATGTGTCTCCAAACATTTCCGCTGTACCTGAAGCGTTTCTTACAAACAGAGCAGCTAAAGGGCATTTCTCCCGTGTGACGCCTCATGTGTTCAGTTAAGTGTGAGCGCAGGACAAAACTTTTACCACAAACTGAGCAACTGATTGGTTCCTCTCCTGAGTGAATCCTCATGTGACTCCTCAGATACGACTTGCAGCCGAATCCTCGACCACACTCGGAGCAGCTGAAGGATTTCTTCACGTTTTCAGCTGAGCTGCTGGCTACAGGCTCTGTCTCACTTTGGCTTTGAAGCTGTGAGGACCGACGTCCAGCACACTTGTGGGTTTTGAGGTGTTTTAACAAAATGAACGTTTTGTCACAAACTGAGCAGCTGAAAGGTTTCTCTCCTGCATGACAGCGTTGTGTGTTTACACCCGATTCTCTGTCCTCCTCCCAGTCAACGTCGCTGACTTCAGTCTCGGGTTCAGAAGAGTCTTCAGTCTCAGGTTGTAAAAGTCGATCTGGATCAGAGTTCCTGGCTGGTTCTGGTCCTCCACAGTCCTCTCCATTAGCTTCAGTTTGGTTTGGATGAAGCTGTGAGGACTGAGGACCAACGCACTTGTGGGTTCTGACCTGATAACTCCAAGTGAACCCTTTGTCGCAGAGACTGCACTTGAATCTTTTCTCCTCTGAGTGGACCGCCATGTGTTGACTCAAATAGCGTCCTTGTGCAAATCCTCGACCACAAACTATGCAACTGAATGGTTTCTCTTCTGTGTGGGTTCTCATGTGAAACTTCAAATTCACCTTCAAGTTGAATCTTCTGCCACACTCAGAGCAGCTAAATGGTTTCTCTCCCGTGTGTATTCTAATGTGTCTTTTTAGATTTCCTCTGAAACTAAATAGTTTCCCACACTCAGAGCAGGTGAGTAGTTTCTTGCGAATGTTACAACTCGTCTCACTTTTAGAGACTTCATTGTTTGAGTTTAAACCTGACTTAGGTTCTCTGGTTTCATCCCAGTCACCACCACATCCTCCACAGTCCTCTCCATCAGCTTCCATCGGTTCAGTCTGGCTCTGATGAAGCTGTGAGGACTGAGGTTTCTCTTCTTCATCATCTTCTTCACTCTTCACAGGGACAGGAGTGAATGGGAACTTGGTGATATCAGCCTCCTCCAGTCCTGGAAGCTGGTCTCCCTGCTGTCTGGTCCAGAGTTCCTCCTGTTCCTCTTTAATGTGTGGAAGCTGTGGGTCCTCCTGGTCCAGACTGAGGCTCCACCCCTGAACCTCTTCCTTGCTCCCCAGCAGCTGCTCTATGTCTGCAGGACACATTGAAGAAAACTATTAGACCATGTTGAAGCCAAGCTTGATGACATTTTACATTGAGACACATGATAAACACAAGCAGGAAGGTTGTCTTGTAATAATGACCACCAGACCCTGAGTGTATAGGAACAGCTGACGACGAATGAAGGGAACACAAACTTTGTCCACATCGGTTAACCTGCTTTTTCTCTCCGTTTCAGTGTTTTCCGGTGATTACGCAGTGTCCGTCTCTGCCCACGAGACTATGGCTGTTGATACACTGTCAACAACCTACCGCTGTTTTGTTCATTTGTAGCTCCTGATAATACGTTCTTATTTGCAGCAGCGTTATTATGGAGGATAAGTGGAAAAGAAAAGGAAATTTCCCAAGATTCAAATATGAATAGAGCTGTACAGCCGGCACAAAAACCCAATGACAGCCAAGCAATCCAACGAGATAACCAAAGAAGATGCAGTTGACCAGGAGAAACAACTGTTCCGACTCGGGCTGCCTCCATTTAGAAAATTACAGTATGTTTGTAAAAAATGGACAGAACTCCTGAGCATGCAAAGAAAGACGTTTCATTCAGTGAGAATTCACCCTGTCATCATTGACGAAGACCCCGATTATTGGGGCACGATGCCCCTACGAAAGTTCAATCAAATCATGTCTGGGACGTGCAGATGTCGCCGCCCGAAAGAAAGAGAGGCGCCTCGCTTTAGGCCGCATTGCAACCAGACTCCGTCAACAGACGGGGAGACAACACCTTCGCAAGCACCAACCAGCCGCACGACCTACAGTTGTTGAGACGAGACAGCTGGAAGCATGGGTGGTACTTTTCTTGTCACCTAATCCACATCTCATCTCACGATGTCTAAACCGGTTTTGAAACTATGTTTCAGTGACACCCCGTGATTAAAATGCACAACTTAACTTCTTATCCTACTGAATCCTGTACAACATAAGTAAAGCTGGAGGATCCACGTGTTCAGCTCCACTGTGTGCTAAATGTGTGTCGAACCAGTAATCACGGGATAGTAGGTCCCATTAACCAGTGCATTACAGTGTAGAAGATTGAAAGGAGGGAATCTTGAATAATTATAATTCCTTTGTTTCATTACTGTGTTTACTTTTGTTTCATTCACTTTGATGGTTTGCTGTGTTTTATCAAACTTTATTATGATATCCTAGAGGTGCTGTATTACTCAGAAGTGCATGTAGTGTAGCCATTGGGAGAATAACGGTGTTCTCATTGGGTAAAGGTGTTGACCACTAATGTTATTCTTTCAATGTGAGGTTTGACTACTAAAGGATTACATTCTGTGTTATTCACGAACCTGTGCTTTCTACATGAGCAGAGCAGCTGCTCAGGCCGCGCAGGCAAAACCTAGCCAACCGTAACCTACACAATGGAAGCAAGGCACCTGCTGTAAGTCACGTACGGCAGGCCTGAGATCATCGCGAACTGAAGCCAAGAATGAGATCATGACACATTGTGATTTATGGCGCCTGGTACTGCAAGAAACCAAGCTTTGCACTGCGGAAACTAAACTTTGTATGAGACGCAGCACCCTGCTGGTTGGAATTGTTGAATAATGTTATGCATTTATCAAGTATGTTATTCCTTATTAATTCTTTTAAAAAATACAATTATAAGTGTTTAAGTTTTAATGGTGTCAAAGAATGCCTGTATAACTTTTAAAAAATACGGTGAGACTGAAGTTGAACCATATTGGTGAATTTCTTTATATTAAAAATATAAAGAAGGATAAATTGTAACAATAAATATGCTGAATAACAGCTAAAAAGTGGTAATTTCGATATTAGCGAAAGTGTTAAATTGGTAAAACAGTACATAAAACGGCCACTAGATGGCAGCAGAGGATAAGAAATTCACCAATGGAAGGTCAGCGAACACTGTAGGTGGAGACCAAGTGTAACGCCCACCTGGAAGGTGGAGTTTAAGGTGAATCTAAGGCGATGACCATCAGCTCAGTTCCATCCTGAGACCTGCTGGGATGTTTCTTGGGTTTATTTGTCCTTTATTGGAATAAACTCTTTTGCACCGACTCTTGACCGTCTCCAGTGAAGTCTTTGACTAAAGAAGAAAGCTAATAGAGTAATTTTTACTGAGTTTGATAAGCTGGTTAGGGTAGGGACCAGGTCTTTTACTGGCCCGGCCGGCCCTTATTTCTGACCCAAAACAGCAGCCGGCGTGCGGCGGTGTGTTTACAGCTGATGGGAGTAAATACTGGGTCCTCAGCTGTTTTCAGTTGTCCTCGTTTAGGAGTTTTTCACAAGGAGGTGAAGACAGTCTCCTCCTCTCCAAAACAAACAGCTGATTTCAGCAGGTAGTAAAGCTCGTTAAAATATCACGTTCCTCCGACACTCTGTCACATGGAAATGCTAATGTCCGTCGGCGGTTGAGGTCAATATACTCACACTGTTTTTTATTCTAATGAAGTCTGACGGTCATATCTACATTTTACTCACGGATTGTGACGTTATTAAATGATGTCTGTCCGTTTGTGTGGTGTTCGAATAACAACATACGTCAGCTGGTTCATTTTCCTAATCCTTGCCGGTTCAGACGGCGGTGGAAACGCAGACGTGGGCTGAAGGAACCTTTTAGTTCCAACGATGATCTTGGTCCCTGGTACTTTTGGTGGAAATGCAGTTTTAGCTAATAGAGTACCGTCAGGCCCAAGTTTGTTTGTTTATTTAGTCTTTTTCATATTTAGTATTAACATGAGTGAAGATTTAAAAGAAACAAGTGAATGGATTAAAGTCGTAAATGGGCTCATATCTGTCTCTGTCTCACTCTGCCGTCCGTTCACATGAGCCGACTTTTGAATCCACTCAGAATAAAAACATTTACCAATGAAATAAATAATTCAGAATACAGACAGTAACTGCAGTTGCGTGACACTTTTTGTGCAAATGTCTGCACATTTTGTAGCCAATGTAGATGCTCAAATACTGACCTGGTGCTCATCGTTCTGTGCAGCTGATAATGAGTTAAGCCTGGACTGATAATGCTGTTGTGACGGACTGAAGCGCAGGAGGAGCCCTGATGGTGCAACAGACTTCACTAAAAACTGGATTATTACTGTTCACTAAAAACACTACACGTGTTTCCTGTTGATGCAGTTATTTATACGCAGCTGATGCTCCTTATGACTGACAGCTGGGTTCGGCTCGGACCGGTTCGGCTCGGATCTCCTCGGCCTGTTAGCTCCCGTTAGCAGGAGCTAGCTGCGTGCGGCCGCTTTAGCTCCCGTTAGCTTAGCACCAGCGACGTTCCCAGCAGCAGAAAGGAAACTGACCTGCTCTCCGCAGTTTTCTCTCAGGCCGCTTCAAACCCACATCCAGCAGGTTCCGGTGGCGGCGGCCCAGCTCCTCTTCATACTCGGTGATTGTTCTCTCAAAGTGGCCGAATATCTCCTCCACAGCCGCAGCCAGCCGCTGCTGGACGAACACCTTCAGACTCTGGAGCCCCGACATGTCGGACTCCGTTAGAGGAGAAGAATTAAAGTAAAGCAGCGACACGAAGCCCTCATTGTAAACACGAGCGACCACTTCCGGGGAGCGATTTCAAAATAAACACAACTCGTCACTTTGTTCGGAGTGTCGGGAAGGTTCCTTTGGAAATGCAAAAGCTTTTTCTTCTTTGGGTTTTTACGGCAGCTTGAGTTGCATTACTGCCATCTTCAGGCTTTACTTTCCCTTTGCTTCCATTCATACTAAATCTGCCCATCTAATCCAGTCGCCCTCAGAAAACCAAATATCCATTTCCTGCCCTCCACACTTACTGTTTTATCTACCCGTCCTATTTTTTTAAACTGTGTTATCATTTCTTGTCTTTCCTGAGTAAATTCCCTGCATGTTGTAAGAATATGTTCTGCTGTTTCAGCCTCCTGACATTGTTCACACAGTGTGCTGTTAAGATTGCTTTGCCCAATTCTCAGCCTGCTTATTATCACCTGCTCTTTATTGTGTACTGTATGATGTGTTATATGGACCTCTGTCTGCAATAAAGTTATTAATTAATTTCCTCTTTGCTCCCCTACTTTGCTTTGGATTCTGTGTAAATGTCTCCCTTTTATTGCATCATCCCAGCTCTGTTGCCATTGTTGATTTACACTTCTCCACACTATGCCTTTCCCCTCTGATCTTGATAATTTAATGTTGACTTCAACATCTCCTTTTTTAACTGCTTCTTTTGCCACCTTATCTGCTTTCTCATTTCCCTGAATTCCTGAGTGTGCAGGGACCCACAGAAATATGACTTTTTCCCCTGCCTAGTTATTCTTGAGTTCATAAATAAGACTTTATACAGCAGGTCCAGCTGGCTTCTAGTTGTGCATTTCTTCATGCTTATAAGAGCTTTCACTACATAATAATAAATGTAAAAGGTTACCTGATTGATTATTGTTATTATTATTTTATCAAAGTACGATTTAATTACTTTTCTCAATTTTCCAATGGATGTTTTCACCTGTTAAACATTTTTCTACAGACAGTTTGAGACGAAGTTTAACAAGAGAACCAATCAGAAGCATCAGAACAGCTTCAAACTTTACAGAAGGAAGGAAGATATTATGCACATGAAAAACATGCAAAGGAACAAAATTAATATTATTCAACACATAACCGAGCATGTTACTGTCATTTAATTACTGATTGTCCCCAGTAACTGTTACAGATTCCAGTTACCTTTATTTTGTTATTAAATTATATGTAACTAGGCTATTTACTTATAAAAAGGTTAATCCCCATCACTGCCCATGTATTATTTTTCTTACATAACTTACATTTTCTATTCCATATTTATATTTCTACATTTATGTATGTCAGCTGCATGTTTGTCTGCGTGTAGCATCGCCAAAGACAATAAAACTCCTTCTGATTCTGAACAAGCCAGACTGATGGAGTGACAGTGTACTTCTACTAATATCTAAAGTCTGCTGAGGAAGTATACTATTTCCTGCCATGAATTTCTTCAATAAAATGGGGTCAGGACCTTTAGAAATCCCGCCGGGGGGGTGCATACATTCTGCCAGTGTTGGACTCTTTTGTAAGCTGGAGATGTTGTTTAGTTCCTCAGCGCGTTTTATCAAAATCACAATGTTTATATGAATATTTCATATAACCTATAACTCTGTTAACAGACGTTGTTTTTAATAATCATTGCAGATGTGATGTCATGTTTAATTTGTTGAATGGACCAAAACTTCACCAAGTCTTAATTTATCTTATTTTGTTCATTTTGTTGTTCTTCTGGTTGAATTATTTTGACGGTCGACACCCGGAAGTGATCGTCTTCACTGCGGCTGAGTGTTTTAGCAACATGGCGTCCATCATGTTTAGCTTGTGAACGAGTCCCGTTGTTGTGCTGAGAAAGAGTCTCTGGCACCAACAGCGAGGAGCCGCCAGAGCCTCCGTGTGTCCGGATAAAGCTGCTGCTCTCCGGCTTCACCTCGGACTCATCTCCCGGGAGCCTCCGGAGCTACTGGAGGTAGCTTAGCATGCTAACCGCAAGTTAGCCTCGCAGCGCAGTGAAAGCAGAGTTCGTGGAGAAAATGTATAAAGTTCAGGATCTGAGATGGTGAAGCGGCGACTAACTGCGGCCGCAGGTACAACCGGAGAGCGGCTGTATTCTGAACATTACGGTAACTTCACGGCCTTGAAACGGTGAAATGTTTCTGTTTGTGATTTTATTTCGCTTTTTTACACCGTCAGCAAACAGCTGTTAACAGCATTCCGCCTCTCGCACAGATTAATAAAACTGTTAGCATCGTTTCTGAGCGCGATGTTCTTGTAACATTAGTAACTCCTGCTGAGGCACCGTGTACATCCGGATTTCACAATAAAAGCACCCCGGGTTAAAAATAACGGTTTTTTAAAACAATTATTTTAACAAGAGATGGTAAAGACAACGATTATGTCAGCAAAACTGAGAAATAATGTAAATGTCAGCGGTATAAAGTTTTCAGGGATCAAGAAATGAGTGAAAAACTTCCAGTTTATTCTGCAGCAAAGGAAGGAAATTAAGCACATTTCTACAGTAACACACTGGAGCAGCCTGTTAATACACCCACAGAAGCTTTATTTGTATAATATTATATGTAAGAGCCCATGTTAGCACATGGTATTTGGTGAATTGTTGTTAATAATGACGTGCTATATGTTCATGGGTCATGCAGAAGTTGATTCTGTGTTTGATGTTGTGTTTTAGCTGATCGGGTGGTGAGTAGTTCTGCTAAAAGGAACATGTGGCAGGAGGTAAAGAGATCTGCAAGGAGGATGGATCCTAACAGGTTTTTGACTGTGTTTTGCTTAACAGGTTTGAGTGGTTTTGGTATACTGCACTGGGCTGGTAATGGATCAGGCCTTTTGTACATCTAAATAAAAGGATCTAATCTTATTTTTTGAAAAAAGATTTCATCATAATTGTTTTGAATGTTCTACCTCAGATTTGTGAAGTGATCCACTGTTTTGCATCAAGTGCTTGTCACGTTCTGACCATAACGAAAAGTTTTACCACACAAATAATCATCTGGTTTCTTCAATTTTCACTTTGGAGCAAAAATCAGCCTGAAAAAAATAAAGATTTGACATTTATCCTGATAATTATCGATATTGAATGGTATGAATTTTTTTCGTCATGATAACATTTTTTTATAAAATAGACTATTTGCAGATTAGTGGCTTTGGACTATGTCATAGTTAAACGGCCAGAATATTTTATTTATATATATAATGAAGAAAGCTGCTTACTGTTTTTCAGTATACAGTAGAAAACACGCTATGGATAATAAATGCATTTTTTGTATGAACTGGAAAAGATACATCTAGTCCCACAATGCCTCTGTCTCTGTGTTTCAGTGTGTCCTGCGGACGTCCAGCAGCTGTTCGTAAGTAAAGAAGAGGTTCCCCCTGAGCAGCAGGAAGGAAGCCCCAGTCTGGACCAGGAGGACCCAGAGCCCCCACACATTAGAGAGAAGTGGAGCCCCGGTCTGGACCAGGAGGACCCACCAGAGCTGCCACACATTAAAGAGGAACAGGAGGAACTCTGGACCAGTCAGGAGGGAGAGCAGCTTCCAGGACTGGAGGAGGCTGATATCACCAAGTTCCCGTTCACTCTTGTCTCTGTGAAGAGTGAAGAAGATGATGAAGAGAAACCTCAGTCCTCACAGCTTCATCAGAGCCAGACTGAACAGATGGAAGCTGATGGAGAGGACTGTGGAGGACCAGAACCAGCCAGGGACTCTGATCGAAATAGACTTTTACCATTTGAGACTAAAGACTCTTCTGAGACTGAAGTCAGTGATGGTGACTGGGCCAAGCCCACAGAACCTCAGTCAGGTTTAAACTCTGTAAGTAACACTGACAGGAAGTTATTTATCTGCTCCGAGTGCGGTAAAACATTTGGCCACAAGACAAATCTGAAAAGACACACAAGATGTCACACAGGAGAAAAACCGTTCAGCTGCTCATTTTGCAATAAACGTTTCAACCGGAGGGAACACTTGATTGCTCACATGAGATGTCATTCAGGAGAAAAACCTTTCAGCTGTTCAGTTTGTAACACGAGTTTCAGTCATGGCTGGTCCTTGGATAAGCACATGAGAGTCCACAGCGGGGAGAAACCGTTCAGTTGCTCATTTTGCGGTAAAAGATTCAGGCAGCGCTCAGATTTGGTCGCACACTTCCGAATTCATACAGGAGAAAAACCTTTTTCCTGCTCAGTTTGTGATACGAGTTTCACTCAGCGTCACACTCTGGTTCAGCACATGAGAACGCACACGGGGGTCAAACCTTTTCTCTGTTCGGTTTGTGGTACCAAATTCTCGCGAAAGGGACATCTGACGAGACACATGGCGGCTCACACAGGGGAGAAACCCTTCAGCTGCAGTGTCTGCCACAAAAGCTTCACTTGGCAGTCACAGTGTAAAAGACATGAGTGTGTTTGTGAGAGCAGCGGCAGTAAAGTAACTGGGGACCTTTGAATTTTGTACCTCCCACCTCAGACTGTGTAATGATCAATGTGTAATAATGCAATAAATAGAGAGATTAGTTCTGGTTTTCTGTTGACCAGAAAAACTAAAGATGTCTTAAAGTGGATGGAACGTTATGGCGCTGTGTTCTGTCTCTGCTGATACATGAACATTCTTCTTTCTTTAACTCTTGTTTACTTTTTGTTTCTTTAAAGAGGGTTTCTAACATTTTGGGAAATAAATATTTACCGCTGCATTAATGTGGATGGTGCATTTTACTACTGCAGATGATTCACTCCTTTATATCCTGTTGGGTAATTTAATCTGCAGCAATGCATCATGGTCAATAAGATCAAGAAAATGTAACTTTTTCCAATGACAGATTTGCAATTTGACATCATTTGGGATCATTGTTTTTACCATATCTGTGAACAAATAGTTGGAAAAGCCAGAGCAGATAATAAATAAACAACAACCAGAAACATAAGAACTAAACTTGCTAAAGAATTCTGGTTATTTAGTTTCCATCCTCTCTCCACAGTGATTTTACATTCATGGCACAGCACCCAAGCCTTAGAGCAGCAGGGAAACCCTGTTAATATGACATCATCGTCATCATAGATAAGAGTGTTCATGCTGTCTTTTGTGTCTCAATTTACAGCAATTACAACTACATGTTGTACAGAACTGTAGTTCAGGGTTTCAGGGTGTCGCGCTGCCATCACTAGTAAACAGTGTAGCTGATGGAGGAGGAGGATTTTCTCAGTTTATGAAGGAAGTCTTCATCCTGCAGGTTCTCACTAAACCTTGGAGATACGGGGTTTTCGGTGAACAGGAAGTGAATGAATAACTGGATTTTGTATTGAGGCCAGTGCTGAGAAGCTAATAGGAGAGAAACGTAGTGGAGCCAGCCTGAACTATAAGCTTTATCAAAGAGGAAAGTCTTAAATGTGGAGATGGTGTCTGCCTCCTGAACCCAAACTGGAACCTGGTTCCACAGGAGAGGAGCTTGATAGCTGAACTCCGGGTGGCTTTTACAGTCTGTTTTATAAACTAGAGGGAGAAGTAGATTTATTATGTTATAATAATGACATGTTAAAGTCTCTTCCACTCACCTCCACACATGCAGTCCGTCCTGTTCTGTCTCTTAGTATATAGTGACTGGTGCTGGAGCTTTTTCTTGGACCAGTACCCCCACTGCGGAGAAGCTAGACTGCGAGCCGGCAGGAAGACACATGGACTGGTCCCTGGTCTGTAATGTGAACTTCAACTCAGGGGGTCAGGCGTGTTTCCAGAGGTAACGAGAGCGAGAGAGGGAACCAGGCGGAGCGTCAGCTTCTGGCCGTGGGGAGGTCCGAGAGAAGAAGCTCTGCTGTTCCAGAGGACAGAACACGTGGGGACGTCTAAAGTATTCTGCCAATACTGTGTATTAATACTTCTCACCATCAACACAGAGTACAGCTGTGTGCCGGGCAACGATTCAAATTTTTAATCGTGATTAATCACATTGTCAGGGCGTTACCTTTTATCTAGAGTCCAGAGCCACGATCAGAACGTCAGAACAGGCTCCTGCTGAGCAGCAGGTGAACACATAGAAATCTGTTTTCAGGTGTCAGCAGGAACGTCTGTCTTCAGCTGTTAGAGGAAGGGGAGGAGATCTCCTCACGCACACGCCCGCCCGCCGCCGAAGTTCAATCATCTTGAACTTTTTGTTGGCGACGCGCAGCACGAATCACGGGCAGAGAGACTGATCCTCGCTGTTCGGGAGTTTCCAGAATCTAAACAGGACACCAGCAGGAGGGACTCACACGGTAGAGCGTCCCCGCAAAACTAGATGAAGTCGATCAGGTGAAGTGATGTAGCCTGTAACTTTAACTGACGTTAAATAGGCTACAGCTGTGTAGCGCACAGAAGCTGTTGCCATGGTTACCCTCACCAGAGCGCCGTCTGTTTCTCCCTCCGCTGCTGGTTTGGGTGGCTGATTCTCAGGCTGATCAACCCCCCCTGTGACCCCAGGGTTTGACTGGATGTGTATTCAGAGCCAGTGGACTTCAAAATAATTATAATTAGAAAATAAAACTGCGTTAAGGTGCGATAATTGTCTGTGTTAATTAATTAATGCGATAACGTGTTAACGTGCCCAGTCTTATTATTAATACTTCTCACCATCAACACCAAGTACAGATGTGTATTAATACATATGCATTGTAAATTTCCACCACAGCAGACGTAAAACGTATCCTGTATGGAACCGGTTAATCAGGAAGTTACACCTGAAGTTACCTCTGAAGTTACCTGGCTTCTTAGTGCAGGCCTCTGGTTCCTCTGCTGCCATGAAGAATCAAAATGATTTAAATCAAACAAAGGATGCAGACGTAGCAACATGTACTCTCTAAACAACGGGAACACAAACGCAGACGCTCAGCACACAAATCCAGCTCTGAACTCCACTACGGGTTTCCTCAGTTCAGTTCTTGAATGTAAACAAAATAAATTCAGTTCATGAAAGCAAAAAAGAAAGGAAATCAGTTTTACTCACAGAGTCAGAGTCAGTCCGGTACGAGAGCCCAGTCCAGGTTTTAGCTGCTGGGTTGTAGATGTTCACTTCCACAAACAACTGAGCACCGTGGGTCTCGTTCTCTCTATAAATCTGGATGAAAAACGGTTCACAGGAATTGAAACTACATCCCTACTATCACCAATCGGCTGTCACACAACCAGATAAACCCAGAACCAAACGTCACCAACAAGGATCATTAAATGAACAGTGATGCAGATGATGAAGGGTTGGAAAGGTTTTCCTGTGTGGAAATCAACGTGTCTCAGTGTGTTAATGCTTAAGAACTCATTTTATTCATCAATGAACAAGATGTTACTGAATATAAAAAAAAGTGTTTCATAATCAAAGGATTGTTTGTGCATAATTTTTCTTTATCTTTGTATTAGATATATTAAATCATTAATCCCTCAAAACACGTTCACAACATAAACATTTTGCATTTTATCATCTGCAGCCCACATTGAACAAAAACAGCACTTCTTTCTAACACTGACTACAGAGGGATCAGCTTCAGATGCTGCTTTTGAAACAATTTTAATGTCATGCGTTTCTGCTCATATGTGACAGACGAGTCAAATCCAATGTCTTAATAAATATTTATTTTCCATAAATATCAACTCTCAGCACCAGAATACATTTTCACGTATGCTGGCTGCACGCTGGAGGGTAACTGGGCCGACGTGGGTCGGACTCGTCGTCCTGATAATCTCAGGGCCGTTCCAGATTATCGGCCCGATGATCCTGTAGTGCGAGAGGTTTACAGACAGAATCTGAAGGTCGCAGACTCGATCCGAGGCTCCCCAATTTAAGATATCGACAACCAGAAACTTGCAGCAGCCAATGAGAGCGAGCTGAGCGGGAAGCGTGTCTCTGCTTTATAAAACATATAAACCTGCCGACTCCCTCTTCTCAGCCTCGACTTCATCCAGTTTGATTCTCTTCTTCTCCTCCGCACACACATGGTCGACCAGCTGATGACGACAGTCTGCCTCCATGTTTGTTTCTCTCTGAAGTCACGTTTGATCATGTGAGATTCTATGAGATCCCAAGTCCCTGAAACCGCTTAGTATAAACGCTGAGAGTCTGGTGAGCGTGTTCTCAAGACTAAAATATTAAACATCGGTTCATTCTGTGTTCCGTCTGTGGTGTCCCTCTTTTTTAAAATAAATTTAGATTTTAAACATCCTCTAGTGAGCACCAGGAGGTCACTGAATATCCAACATTTCACTATAAACTCCTGTGCAGAAATCACAAGTTTTACTGACTCCCTGTGTATATTCATGTTCCTACCTCTACAGCAGCAATCGGCAGCGGGCAGCCCGCCAGCATTAATATCCGGCCTGCAGCCAGATTACTTTGATAGCGGCAAAAAAAAAATAACATAAAAAAGGCAACTATAGAAGCTGGTGCTGAAACAGATCTGAGTCATCACAGCAACAGTTACTCACATAATCACTTTCTCTTAAGTGATTGAGCCTACAAAATAAAAGCATGAGAACATTTTTGCAGGAGTACTTTATGTCATGTTTAATTGAGAGCTTTTACTTTGAAAAGTTCTGAAGGAAATTCTAAATAGTAGTCTCTGGCCTGCTTGACAGACCTCTGAAAACATTCCCCTGAATGAGAAAATAAGGTTCCTAAAATGAAGTTCCTCTAATGGAGATGCTGGAGACATGAAAATAAGCGTCCACGTGGATCGATCCTGCACATGCTTAATATTGATCTCTTCACAATCAATTTGTTGAAAAAGGAAGAAAAAAATACAAGCAGCAAGTGAGGACTGAACACACAACCCTTCGAACTGCTCTACACTGAGGTGGGCAGTCAGACATCCAAAGCAGAAACGTCCTCGGTCGCTTCAACGTTTCTTCCAGATGAATCAGGCCGTGTTGCTGCTGCTGCTCTCGCCGACACACTTGTGGCTTTTGACCTGCGACTGCCAGGTGAACCTTTTGTCACAAACACTGCAGCTGAACTGTTTCTGTCCCGTGTGCACTGAGAAGTGGTACGTCAGATTTGCCTTTTGAGAAAAACTTTTATCACACACGGGGCAACTATATGGTTTCTCTCCAGTGTGGACGGTCATGTGTTTCTTCAGACCCCCCTTTTGTGTGAAGCTTTTGTCACAATATAAGCAGCTGAACGGTTTCTCCCCAGTGTGGATTCTCATGTGATTTACCAAAGCGCTACGCACAGCAAAACTCGTGTCGCAGAATGAGCAACTGAAAGGTTTTTCTCCAGAGTGGCATCGCATGTGACGAATTAAATTCGGCCTCTGAGAAAATCTTTTGCCACAAACTGAGCAACTATACGGTTTCTCTCCTGTGTGGAACCTCATGTGTCTCCGCAGACTGTCCTTGCGACCAAATTTTCTACCACATTCAGAGCAGATGAACGACTTTTTGATAGCATTACATTTAACATCAATTACAGGGACTCCGTCATTATTTGTGTTTGAACCTGACTGAAGTTCTCTGGAATCCTTAAAGTCATCGTCGCTGATTTCAGTCTCAGACTCAGCAGAGATTAAAGCCTTGTCTTCAGTCTCAGTTTGTAAACGTCTATCTGGATCAGAGTCCCTGGCTGGTTCTGGTCCTCCACAGTCCTCTCCATCAGCTTCCATCTGTTCAGTCTGGCATTGATGAAGTTGTGAGGACTGAGGTTTCTCATCATCATCTTCTTCAGTCTTCACAGGGACATGAGTGAACGGGAACTTGGTGATATCAGCCTCCTCCAGTCCTGGAAGCTGCTCTCCCTCCTGACTGGACCAGAGCTCCTCCTGTTCCTCTTTAATGTGTGGGGGCTCTAGTGGGTCCTCCTGGTCCAGACTGGGGATCCACTGCTGATGTTCAGGGGGAACCTCTTCTTTACTCCCAGATAGCTGCTGGACGTCTGCAGGACTCACTGAAAGACAGACACATTGAGGAAAACTGTGAGTTCACTTTGAAGCTTGATACAAAATATTTTAATGTAAATGAGATTACTGATGAACATTCATCCCCATAAAATACAGTCCCCACCTCCACTGATTTAAACCAGGTGTTTTAACAGCAGCTATTCTGCTCATGTTGAATAGACATTTGCGTCAGCTATCTCTGTTACTGACAAGATAATGGGAGGATGGCGGATTTAAGTCGGGCTGTGGAGTAAGTGGAGACTTTGAAATACGATTAAGTGTTTTATTAACACAAATACATCATCTGCATAAAGGCAGACCTTATTATAGTGTCTGCTGGTTTCTTAAACTTATTTTATTGTCTTTAAGGGTAATTTGTAATTTTACAGGTTACAGAAATAAGAGGGACTTAAATACAAATTACAATACAAATGTAATACAGTGCTCCTTTCTGTGTGCAGGTTGTTAATAAAAAAGAAAATAATTGTCCCATTTCGTTGCCAAGGACCTTTTCTATTTGCCGTGGTTTTGAAAGAGGGATCGACCATCGTTTTTTTATACTAGTATTGTATCAAGCTTTAAAGCAACATAATGTAATATTTTTATCTTAAATTTCCAACTTCAAAATCATTTTGATGGTACGTTGACTTGCCCGTTATTGCACTACGTAGCACTGAAATCTCAGGCAGGACATTTACCATGACAACAGCGTAACGCTTTATGGCACCAACATGACTCTTCAGCACAAGAGAGAAGAAGAAGCAACAAGTATACAATGTACAACATAAGTTCTTAGGAAGAAGTTAGCTCTGTATTCTCAGTATGGATATCATGACAGAGGCTGAAGAGACCGAATATGATGTCGGAGGAAGCGAGGAAGAGAAAAAAGGAAGTCACAAGCAAGAGATCGGACAAGAGTAAAAAGCAGACTGACTTTTACTCGTTCAGTTAAAAGGACAGACGGCGAGCTGGCCTCCTTTCTGTTGGACTAGCCAGTAATAACTTATTAATTAAATTTTATCTGGTGGAGATTTTTGCAGCTGCATTTTTTACAAAATGAAATAAAGCAGTCTCTTCCTTCTGATGGCTTCTGGTCCAGTCAGATAGTTCTGGTTCTGGTTCCTGCCAGAGAACAATAGAGGGTAATGGAATTTAATTTGTGAAACTCAAGAGTTGAAACACAACATTTAAATTTCACAGCAACATGTGACTATTTCTGAGAATCTATTATTTCTGAGACTATTTCTTCAAGTCGAAAGAAGTTCCTGTAAGAAAAGAAGATCTGGACACAAAAAACCTAAAACCATCTGCACAGCAAAATAAAATAAGTAGGTTTGTGTGTGTCGGACAAACTGTCCACCTCTAACCCTGTAGCTACCAACAAGCAGACAGACTTTCCTTCCACATCTCTGCATATAAACACATTTTAAAGCAGCTGCCATCGCTCTTCTGCGTGTTTTACTGTGGTGACTGAAAGATGAATAAAATGCAGGGTTTTTCCTGCAGAATCACGAGGGGTGCCTCCCTCAGATATGGTCCCGCCTCCCTCAGATATGGTCCCGCCTCCAGTGCCGACAAACTCTGATGGTGTCGTCATGGTAACCTGTTTATGGGTTTCTGTCATGTGTACTGTTGCAGCATCAGGCTGGCGTGGTGTCGTTCTCAGCACAGCACACCCGGAAATACGCTGTCAACATGTCCAGCGAGGGAGAAACGAGCCGTCTGATAGGCTGGACTGCAGCGCTGGGGGAGGAGACAGTGTTTCCCTGGTAACGCCACACAGCAAAATAATCACTGAAGAAACTAAACTGCTTTTCCTACCGTTCTGTTTTTATTTATAGTTTTAAATTGGCGCCAACATCAGCAGATGTTTGTGAACGCTGCCTTGTGGGCTCTACATGTGTGACTGAACGCCTCCGGTACAGAGAGTTTGTTTACACGCCGGCATTTCTCACGTTATCAAATACACATGATACAACAGACCTCTGAGAACATGACGCCGCCGATACTGAAAAAGCTAATAAAATTATAAAAGTGACAGGCTGAGATTTGAGCGCTGCGTCAGAGCGCCAACATTTAGCATCTGTTAGCAACATCATGTTGGCTGGTCGAAGCTCCAATTAAAGATACAGTATCATGTATTATATTTTGGACTGTTCATGTGTTTGCGGTTTCTCATATCAGATATTAATTCTGACTAGTCATAATAATCAAGATATCTTGACTTGAGGGGAATTAAAGATATCTACACCATCCTGAGAAATTTTAACTGGTCAGAATAACATATAACATACTATAACAACAGATACCTGATTCTATTATTCCCAAATTGGAGAAACCTTAAATGGTCATTCCAAGTCAAAATATAATTACAGATATCCTGAGTTTTGACTCGGCGAGATGACGGAGCATCTGTAGCTACGTCAGGAGGAGGATACATGTTACATGGCTTGCCATAGTTGTGGTGCAAATGTACAACACTCAACAGAGAGGAGGAGGCAAGACGGATCACATCATCATTCTGACTCATCGATGCAGAGTAACAGAAAACAGCATTGATGTCACGGAAAACGACCCTCGACTCGTCACCTCCTAAATGACATATCTGCAATTTAGTTTTGATTTCTCCAAATAATAATTGCAGATATCTCAAAAATCATTCTGACTAGTCCAAACTGTTGTGCATGATGTTGCTCAAGCGAGGCTTCTCATTGGATATTGGCCAAGCAAAGCGTTCGAGCCTCAGCTGGAGTAATGGCAGCTGCTGTTGTGGACAAGACACTGAAACAGAAAGGGATTAAGGGATTTGCGGCGAATGAGAGCTTTGGGTTTTCTGTAGAAATGTACAACTCTCAACACAGATGAGAAGGCGGCTCACTCGTTCACTGCTTCCATCATCAGCTCCGGAAAATAAGCTGTGGCTCCGCCTCCTGAGGCTAGCTACTGAAAACTCCAATTTAAGAAATCTGTAATTACATTTTGACAAGGCTGAATGAAAGCTGCAGATATCAGTATTGAGGAATCCCGCACACATGAATGAATCTTACTAGCCCTGCATTAGTCTGACCGTCCACTGCGGGGCCGCTGGGGGGCCACTGTGGGGCCGCTGGGGGGCCTGGATGAGAGACATCTAAACTCTACAACAGTGGGGTGGGCGAGGCTGCAAAGCTCTGGCTCAACTCAATCTGCCATCACTTTCCCTCGTATCGGAAGGTCAAACAAGGTGGTTCAGGTTCGGGTGACGATCAGCAGGAGGCTTTAACTCTCCTCTCTGCGGACAAGAAAACGCGGCATCTAAGTCCAACCTGGCAAGATATGGACGTCCTGGAGTCTGTCAGCAGCTCACTGAGCCCACTGCTGGATTTCTCAGACTATGTTTGAGTCTCCTGTTTGAAGCCAGTCCTTCACACAGACCCGACCAAGTTTGTTTGAAACAAAATGGTTTGATATTTGTTATTTATTACCAGTTTAATTTAACTAATTACACAGCAAACAATGCTTTAAGTGGTATTTTGTAAACCCCTCTCTCTTATATTTATACTTTTGTTTAAAATATGTTTACTGCATTAAAGCTAATGAACGGATGTTTTGCACTCCTCAGGGTAAAAAGTCATTTTTCAGCTTTTTTTTTTTTCCCTCCAAAACCACGGCAATAATATTAGAATGCTTAATTCTTTCTAAATCGAGCTGTTCAGGTCATCGGGTGAAAACTTCTGTATTGTTTTATCTCGCAGAAAAGAAAAACACGGCCCTACCCTGCATGTAAGGAAAGAGGATGTCTGCTTGATTTTGAAAGCGGGAGGGGTTTCACAGGAGGAGGAGAAGGAGACGTCTGCAGAGGAGGAAAGACTTGTGAAAGAGACCCAGTTCCATCATCATTGGCTGTATAAAAGGCTCTGACATTTCCGGGTGCCTGCCGCTTTAAGACTCTTCTTCTGTGGTTACGGTGACGATTCGCATGTTTATTTCCTCCTGAATGATGCAGCTTCCAGAGTGTTGAGTTAATGACGAAAAGTAAGTGACTGTAACTTTGTTGTGTTTCTGTTCTGTAGAGTTAATGTGCAGTCACATGTGCCCAGCGTGATTTCTAATGTTAGCACAATGTTCAAGCTGTAAAACACTGCAGGAAATAATAAGTTAACTGGTGTGAGCCTTCTGATGTCTAAGTTACGCAGTAACACCTGTAACACTGAGTTAAGAAGAGTTAGTATCGTGTTCATGAGACCACGCGCAGACGCTATTGTGCAGTAGCCTCGGCTAGCCAGAGGGTGTCGCCGTTGCTCCTTATGTGAACCTTTTTAATGCAATCTCTGATGTGAACTTGTCAGTGAGATACGTGAAGCTCCTTGTGTCTTTCCAAGGAGTAATGTAGATTTATGTTTAAAGGGACGCAGCAATGAGACGTTTATGTTGGATGATTTCATTACATTATGTATGTGGATTTATTTTTGGTTTCATACAGACTATAGTGACTAAGATGGATATTGGAATGTTCTGATGAAGGAAGAAATTACATCTCCTCGTCTTCATTCCTGTGTCCTGACCGATACACCATCCTGTTTACTGGCTGAAAGCCTTGATGAACTTGTCCTACTTAGTTGCCTCAATAACATTAGCCATGTTTCCATCTAATTGTCATGCAAATTTTAAGCCGACTTTTGAAATGTTACAAAAAACACAAAGGGAAATCTGCGCGTTTCCATCAGCTGGTTTGAAGCGAATAAACCAGGCCACGGCGAGCGTGGTTACGTCAGTAGTTGAGGTTACACGTCTGTAATAAACAAGACGTCTGGGTTCCAAACCAGATAATTCTAAACAAAACAGCTGATGTAGCCACCTGCAGAGATTCGCATCCAGCTGATCAGTCGTGAGTTACAAGTTCGCCACGTCAGAACTTATTCGGCGTTTCATCCCGTTTAGTGCATAAACTCGACAAAAAACACCTCAAGCGAGCGTAAAAACTTTTTTGCGAAATTAAGGATTTAAAATTTTTTTTTTACCGTTTCCATCAACCTTTTCTTACGAGACACTTCAAAATGTGCATTTAAAAAACGCTGATGGAAACACGGCTGCCGATTCTCAGGATAAATGGCTGCACGTCTTTTCTTCCTGGTAGAATTCGTCGTTCAGTCAGTGACAAGTTATTCAGTGCTGATGCCATCACATTTATTCATTTATTCATTTAACCGACGCAACTTACAGCTGCTTTATGTCAGAGGTCGCACAGGCCATGACATGACAGCGAATATACGGAAAAATCACAATTTTCTTTCAAATACAAAAAAGGTGTTTTAGTCAACAGTCTCTATTGAAGTAATGAACTGATTAAAAACAGGATTTCACATTCAGTTAAAACAACTTGCTACAGCGGATCCACTGTAGCAAGTTGTAATCGAACAATGTTTTTAATGTTCCTCTCCCTGTGCTTCCACTGTTGTCTCACTTTTTGCTGTTCTGGACCGCTGGCCAATTTAATTATCAATCCAAACATTAGTCACTTTAGAATAACTTTCCTTGCTGTTGCACCACCTGACTTTACAACTTATTTCCAATGAAACGGGCTTATAGTCTGAAACTTGTATTAACTTTTGCTTTTGATAGCAAGTTCATAATTATATTGTTTTGATTAAATAAAATGGTTTTATGATAAATTAATAATTTTCATGTATTACACATTGGTTGTACCACCGAACATGGAAAGAGAACCAGTCTGACTGTAAGTTAAACACAGGTATTTTTATCATGTAAATGTAAAAGCTCCGTATTTGTATAGCTCCTTTCTAGTCTTTTCAACCACTCAAAGCACTTTTACATCTGCATTCACCATTAATACACTGAGCGAAAGTGCTCAAACAGAAACTAACATTCACACACATTCATACACTGGCGGAAGCCTGGAGGAGCAGGGATTGAACTGCCGACCTTCCAATTAACAGCCAACCCGCTCTACCTCCTGAGCCACAGCCGCCCCTGATGTCATTATTTGAAAGGGATTTTTAAACCTTTTAACAAACATAAAGTTTGCTTGGGGACCTCTGGATGATGCAATAACCTGTTACTGGTAATAAATTTTCACTTTGGAATAAATGCTTATTGTTGGGCCAACCTGACAATTGAAAACATGCAAATTGCTGGACAGAAGTTTTTCAATTATCTCAGCAACTTTAAAACAATTGCTACTTGTAAAATTTGGTTTATTTGAAAGGTTTAAAACATAACATCATGCCACAGTATTTTAATTTGAATTTAATATGCTTAAAACACAATTTAAAATATTTTCTTAATCTGTTTATTTGCACGGACGGTTGCACCACCTGACATTTTGGGAGTTTTAGATGCCAGAACATAAAATAATACACTCAGCTAAAGGATTATTAGGAACACCATACTAATACTGTGTTTGACCCCCTTTCGCCTTCAGAACTGCCTTAATTCTACGTGGCATTGATTCAACAAGGTGCTGAAAGCATTCTTTAGAAATGTTGGCCCATATTGATGGATAGCATCTTGCAGTTGATGGAGATTTGTGGGATGCACATCCAGGGCACGAAGCTCCCGTTCCACCACATCCCAAAGATGCTCTATTGGGTTGAGATCTGGTGACTGTGGGGGCCATTTTAGTACAGTGAACTCATTGTCATGTTTGAAATGATTGGAGCTTTGTGACATGGTGCATTATCCTGCTGGAAGTAGCCATCAGAGGATGGGTACATGGTGGCCATAAAGGGATGGACACGGTCAGAAACAATGCTCAGGTAGGCCGCGGCATTTAAACGGGGGGCCTAAAGTGTGCCAAGAAAAACATCCCCCACACCATTACACCACCACCAGCCTGCACAGTGGTAACAAGGCATGATGGATCCATGTTCTCATTCTGTTTACGCCAAATTCTGACTCTACCATCTGAATGTCTCAACAGAAATCGAGACTCATCAGACCAGGCAACATTTTTCCAGTCTTCAACTGTCCAATTTTGGTGAGCTCTTGCAAATTGTAGCCTCTTTTTCCTATTTGTAGTGGAGATGAGTGGTACCCGGTGGGGTCTTCTGCTGTTGTAGCCCATCCGCCTCAAGGTTGTGCGTGTTGTGGCTTCACAAATGCTTTGCTGCATACCTCGGTTGTAACGAGTGGTTATTTCAGTCAAAGTTGCTCTTCTATCAGCTTGAATCGGTCGGCCCATTCTCCTCTGACCTCTAGCATCAACAAGGCATTTTCGCCCACAGGACTGCCGCATACTGGATGTTTTTCCCTTTTCACACCATTCTTTGTAAACACTAGAAATGGTTGTGCGTGAAAATCCCAGTAACTGAGCAGATTGTGAAATACTCAGACCGGCCCGTCTCGCACCAACAACCATGCCACGCTCAAAACTGCATAAATCACCTTTCTTTCCCATTCTGACATTCAGTTTGGAGTTCAGGAGATTGTCTTGACCAGGACCACACCCCTAAATGCATTGAAGCAACTGCCATGTGATTGGTTGATTAGATAATTGCATTAATGAGAAATTGAACAGGTTCCTAATAATCCTTTAGGTGAGTGTGTATATCATTATAATGTTGTGAAAATATATTCACACAAAATGGGTTTTGTAGAAGTGATAAATGTCGTGAATTCATTAAAATTACTTTAACAGAAAATAATTCACTGGGACACAAAAATCATGTCCACCTTCAAACCATCGATCGCCTTTATATTCCGCTCTTTGCAGCGTCACCAACTTTCTTGCCAGTCAACATTTGTATCATGCGTGTTTGTCATGTACGCCTGCAACACATCTGAGACCATCACCAGTTAATCTAGACACCTGTTTAGGTCCTCTCACTAGCTCCAGCAGCACTGGATCAGTGCAGGTCAAAGTTCAGTGAGCTGATCCAGACCGGGACCAGCAGAACCGGAAACAGCTGTGGTTTATAAGGGGGGGGGGCTCTGCAGGATGAAGAACAGAACAGGCTTCTGAAATAAATCACTATTTTCTTATTATTCAGCAAACATTAATACAGGTTATCTACACATTAATGATACTAATAACAGCTGATGCTCCTTATGACTGACAGCTGGGTTCGGCTCGGACCGGTTCGGCTCGGATCTCCTCGGCCTGTTAGCTCCCGTTAGCAGGAGCTAGCTGCGTGCGGCCGCTTTAGCTCCCGTTAGCTTAGCACCAGCGACGTTCCCAGCAGCAGAAAGGAAACTGACCTGCTCTCCGCAGTTTTCTCTCAGGCCGCTTCAAACCCACATCCAGCAGGTTCCGGTGGCGGCGGCCCAGCTCCTCTTCATACTCGGTGATTGTTCTCTCAAAGTGGCCGAATATCTCCTCCACAGCCGCAGCCAGCCGCTGCTGGACGAACACCTTCAGACTCTGGAGCCCCGACATGTCGGAGACACCCGGAGAAAAGCTTCTTTAATGTTCAGAGAACTGCGAGCACGAAGACGCGACACGTTCCTGAACAACAACACAGAGCGCGGCGATAACTTCCGGGTCACATGTCAAAATAAAACATTTGTACAGCACGTTCCAGCAACAAGGCAACTCAAAGTGCTTTACATAAAACAAAAGTAACAGATGGAAATATTAAACAAAATAATTAGTTAAATAGAAAATAAAAACAGATTCATTTACCTGGTAAACCTAGAATCAAATAATCAGTTTGATTCTCACACCAGCAAAACCTCAAACGATATTTATTTCCTCTTATTCACGATTGTCACCGTGAATCCAGATTGTTTACGCTGCAGTCTTGGTAAAAACAGTCAAAACGTAATACATTTACATTTTACATTTGGCAGACGCTTTTATCCAAAGCAACTTACATTTGAGGAACAACATACTAATCAGCCGTAAGAACTCGGCCTTCAATCACACCTGGCCGCCTTCATCACCTCCCGCTTGGACTACTGCAGTGTCCAGAGTCCTGTTCGGGGGACCCAGCAAAAGTCCTGGACCAGCTCCAATAGGTTGCTAAGGTTCTCACGTAGACCAGCCCCACCCCCCCCAGTACCTACCGGACCTTCTCCATCCCCCAAAAGCTCCTTCTGTGGACACTTTAAAAAAAAACAAAAAACTGCTAACCAAGGTATTAGGCCTGACCCCGCATAGTCAAAGATTTGATGCATCGATGGGCAGAGCCTGATACGACTGTCAATCTCACGGTCGAAGCTTCGCATTGAAACAAGGATCACGCCATTTTGGCGATATGGGGCTGACAACACCAGTGAAGCTGGGTACAAGGTAGGGTAGAGTCGGGTAAGTAAATAAAGCTGGTTTGTAAGCGTGAGGGGAGATCGTGCAGCAGCAGGAAGCAAGACAGTGTGTCAGAATATTTTTATTTAAAGTTTTTACACAAATCCAAAATGGGCCTTTTGAATAATAACACGTCACTAACAATGAGGAAAGAATAAGCAGAAAACGATGCCGCCTTCACATCACGTTTGTTTCAGACGTGGGAACCCAAAGTCCCAATAGTAGAGCCACATAAAGGACGAGTGACGTTAGAGTAACTCTCCGCCACGTCAGCTGCCATGTAGGCGACATCATAGACACGAGTTACATGCTTGGAGTTTGAGTTTCTGAAGAGGTGCGACTGTGTTCTTAACTGAAAGCAAAAGCTGTCTATGATGTAGCTGCATGGCGGACACGCGCTCTAATGTGATTTGATGGACTAAAGGAGTTCAACTTATTTTCAAAATAAAAGGTAATTAAAAAAAAAAAATTCAATTTTTCCCTTAATGTGACTCTAAAACTCTGTCGTCCTAATAATCCTGAAACTCTTCATTTATAAAACCTCACTAAAAGTGTACAAACTGTGCGTTCGCACATCTGTAAGCAAGTTCCCTTTATAAATCACAATCAACTTCAAATGTGGCCCCTGTGAGGGAGCGCCATGTCCGACCCTTCAAACGCTCAGTGAAGCTGGTTAATATTAATCCGTCCTGACTACAGGAAAAAAAGGAGGCGGACTCTCGTGTTATTAAAAGCAGCGCTTCAGATCCACATGCTGGCGCTCAGCGTTTGGTTCAATAAGGAAATGTGAGAACAACACCTGAAACTCTGCTCTCGTATTTGCTCGACTGACGCACTGAAAACAGCATCAGTTTAAATGTAATTTGTCTCCTGTTCACCTTAATTATGAGAATAAATTGCTGCATGCAAGTATTAAATAATCTGATTCCTGATTAAACATATTTGAGGCTCTTTGGCAGAAACAGAATCTCAGTTTGTGTTTAAGATCCTGAATCTGGATCTTTTTGTGGCTGCAAATAATTTTAAATTGTGGGTTTTTTTGCGCACTTTGGGGAAAAAAATAAAATCATTCAGTCAAACGGGTGTTTGTTTATTCAGAAAGGCTTTAAGCCTGGAACACTCAGAGGTAATACTGGGATTTATTTTACACAGCAGTCGGCCTCTTCATCTCAAACCGTTTCATCCTTCTGCCATGTGAGGCGCTCTTTTCCCCTCTTTGTGCGTACGCATGGTTCAGAGTTTACTAACAGGACGCACATTCTCCCGTCAGGTTTGTTTGTTACAGATCACAACCTTTGCTTGGGAAGTGGCGTCCGCACGTTTCCAGTCCCGTTTTGTACGTACGCAGCGTTTAGAAATGAGACCCCTGATGTTTCCAACTCGGTGCTTAATAACCCTGAAGCGGAGATGGGGACTCGAGTTTGAGACACACAAAGTGACTTCAGAGACAGACTCGAGGTGCGAGACTCGTGAACGATGTTTATTTTTAGCTAACGTCCAATGAGTGTGCCGTTATTCCCCTTCCAGCGTTTCCTATAACTGTCGTTTATGAGAAGATGAATGAGCGTTTTTTTGCTCGCCAAACTTGAGGTGGTCGATAAACGTGATCATTTACGTCCCGCCGGCTGCCATCACGTTAATTATTAACGTTGGCTCCTAACAGGTTACAGGTTTATTGTTGATCATACGTTTTATTTAGTTATAACGTTACACTGGTTTGAGTCTGGGGGATGTGTTGACTTACAGAAGTTAATATCACATGGTTGCAGCCTGAACGCAGCATTCATTATAACCAGGAGAGACCTGAGACTTGGACTCTAGCTCAGAGACTTGTGAGCATCTCTGAAAACAAACCAAACATGGCCGCCTCACATCAGCCCGCCTGTGGTTCCGTGTAATTAAACTCATATTTAATGTCTGCAGTGTTTTATTACCGAAGTTCAGTAACTTTAACAACCAAACATCTGGAGTCGTGCAAAGACGTGAACGCTGCAGGCTGTTAACACCTCTTCTAGTGATGGAGCCTCAAACGCAGCAGCACGGCGACACCTGCAGGTCTGTAGAGCTTATAGCAGCTCTAAGATTTTCCAGTGAAAGATGTTCCAGTGAAATAATGACTGCAGATCTAAAAGATGAACGGACCTTCCTGCTGAGGGTCACAGCCGCTGTGGACTCGTGTTTAACTTGATGGCCGATGTTTATGGAACATTTCCAGAGTCTCGGTGTGATGTGACTGGAGGATGGGATCCATTAAATGAGCCCTAAATGTTCTCACAGCGCCGATTCTGTCTTTGTGAACATCATCAACATCTTCGGTCACAGAGTTCAGCTGGATGAATCTTTCTGAAGCAGCAGAGACTTTTGAAGCTTCGGTCTCCATCAGTCACCTGCTGTTGTTCATCTGAATCAAGCGTCGCAGCTTCAGCAGGTTTGAAGTCTGCCAGTTTGTGTGGAGACATCCGAACATCTGGATTCAACCTAACTGGAAGAAGGACGTTCGTTTCCTGCTGCAGCTTCACCAACACACTTGTGTTTTTTCAGCTGTTTCCGCCAACTGAACCTTTGGTCACAGACGCTGCAGCTGAAAGGTTTCTCCCCCGTGTGGACGACCATGTGCTGCCTCAAATTTCCCTTTTCTCCAAATTGTCTTCCACAAACTGAGCAGCTGAAGGGTTTCTCTCCCGTGTGGCATCGTATGTGTCTCAGCAGAGAGTCATTGTAGCCGAATTTTTTCCCACACCAGGAGCAGGAAAACGTTTTCTTAGTACTGCTTCCCACGTCGCCAACAGGGACGTCAAGACTCGTCGTTGGAGAGTTTGAACCTGCCTGAGGTTGTGTTTGTCTTTGATGAAGCTGCGAGGACTCAGCAACACACTGATGGATTCTGAGCTGATAAGGCCAGTTAAACATTTTGTCACAAACACTGCAGCTCAGTCTTTTCTCTCCTGTGTGGATTCTCATGTGTCTCTTTAAATGTCTTCTCCATGAAAAACATTTCTTGCAAATTGAACAGCTGAAAGGCTTTTCTCCTGTATGACATCTCAGGTGTTCCCGCAAATGTGTCTTACGGCCAAAAGTTTTACCACAGTCAGAGCAACTGAATGGTTTGTCGGTATCACTTAGAGAGACTTCAGTCTCAGGTTGTAAAAGTCTATCTGGATCAGAGTTCCTGGCTGGTTCTGGTCCTCCACAGTCCTCTCCTTCAGCTTTGGCTTCCATCTGAAGCTCTGAGGACCGACGACCGACACACTTATGGTTTCTGAGCTGATAAAGCCAAGTAAATCTTTCACCACAAACACTGCAGCTGACTAGTTTGTGCCCTGTGTGATGTACCATGTGGTGGGTCAGATGAACTTTTTGTATAAATCTTTTACCGCAAACTGAGCAGCTGAAAGGTTTCTCTCCTGTGTGGATTCTCATGTGGGTCTTCAGATTTGAGTTTTGGCTAAATCTTTTCCCACACTCAGCGCAGCGGAATTTTTTCCCGCCTTTATTAAATCTCATTTCACTTGCTGGTACTTCATTATTTTTCAGAAAGTTCAAACCTGCCTGAGGTCCTCTGGTCTCCTTCCAACAATCACTGACTTTCCTCTCAGGTTCAGAAGAGTCTTCAGTCTCAGGTTGTAAAAGTCTATCTGGATCTGAGTTCCTGGCTGGTTCTGGTCCTCCACAGTCCTCTCCTTCAGCTTTGGCTTCCATCTGTTCAGTTTGGCTTTGATGAAGCTCTGAGGACTGACGACCGACACACTTATGGTTTTTGAGCTGAGAAAGCCAAGTAAATCTTTCATCACAAACGCTGCAGCTGACTAGTTTGTGCCCTGTGTGATGTACCATGTGGTGGGTCAGATTAACCTTTTGTGTAAATCTTTTACCGCAAACTGAGCAGCTGAAAGGTTTCTCTCCTGTGTGGACTCTCATGTGGGTCTTGAGGTTTGAGTTTTGGCTAAATCTTTTCCCACACTCAGCACAGCGGAATGATTTTTTCAGAAAGTTCAAACCTGCCTGAGGTCCTCTGGTCTCCTTCCAACCATCACCGACTTTCCTCTCAGGTTCAGAAGAGTCTTCAGTCTCAGGTTGTAAAAGTCTATCTGCATCAGAGTTCCCAGCTTGTTCTGGTCCTCCACAGTCCTCTCCTTCAGCTTTGGCTTCCATCTGTTCAGTTTGGCTTTGATGAAGCTGTGAGGACCGACGACCGACACACTTATGGTTTTTGAGCTGAGAAAGCCAAGTAAATCTTTCATCACAAACACTGCAGCTGACTAGTTTGTGCCCTGTGTGACGGGCCATGTGGTGGGTCATATTAACCTTTTGTGTAAATCTTTTACCGCAAACTGAGCAGCTGAAAGGTTTCTCTCCTGTGTGGACTCTCATGTGGGTCTTGAGGTTTGAGTTTTGACTAAATCTTTTCCCACACTCAGCGCACGGGAATGATTTCCCACCTTTATTAAATCTCATTTCACTTGCTGGTACTTCATTATTTTTCAGAAAGTTCAAACCTGCCTGAGGTCCTCTGGTCTCCTTCCAACAATCACTGACTTTCCTCTCAGGTTCAGAAGAGTCTTCAGTCTCAGATTGTAAAAGTCTATCTGCATCAGAGTTCCCAGCTGGTTCTGGTCCTCCACAGTCCTCTCCTTTAGCTTTGGCTTCCATCTGTTCAGTTTGGCTTTGATGAAGCTGTGAGGACTGAGGTTTCTCATCATCTTCTTCACTCTTCACAGGGACAGGAGTGAATGGGAACTTGGTGATATCAGCCTCCTCCAGTCCTGGAAGCTGCTCTCCCTGCTGTCTGGTCCAGAGTTCCTCCTGTTCCTCTTTAATGTGTGGGAACTCTAGTGGGTCCTCCTGGTCCAGACTGGGGCTCCACTCCTCTTTAAAGTGTGGGGGCTCTGGGTCCTCCTGGTCCAGACTGGGGTTACACTCCTGCTGTTCTGGGAGAAGCTCTTCTTTGCTGACAATGAATTTGTAGACATCTGAAGGAAAAGGGTGAAACAGAGACATACAGTCATTATTATAAACATTAATACGGTCATTCTTACATCTGTATGGCATCTTCTGGTTTGCACCAGTCCTAAATTTCACAGAGACCACCAGAGAAAACTCATAAAAAATTAAATAAATAAATAAAAGTGGGGGGTCGTGTTGTGTTACATTTGATAAAATGGCCGTATATGTGTACCACAAGTAAAAGTGACAAATATCAGAAACACTTTATAGAAACGCTCTCAGTGTGGAAGTCAGAGCATTACCAAAGTACATAGGATTCATCCTCTGGACAATGAAGGTCAGTACAAACTGTTTCGTCTGGATGAAGAGACCGACAGGCTGACATCCCTGGAGCCGCTGACATGGCTGAAAACTTTGAATGTATTTTATTCCTCATAACACATAAATTTGAAACCGTTCATTGTTTACATAGATTTTCGGGGCGTAAAGCAAAAAAAGTTTCTGTGCCTGAAACGTGTTCGGGGATTACGACAAAGATGGAGGGTGCGAGGCAAGAGCGTATTTTTGTTTTTAAAAGTGGTGGGGACATGGGGGCTCAGATCAGGGTCGAGAGCATTACTTTAAAAATGTAATCAGTAATGTAAGTTCCAAAAAATAAAAGTAATGTGACCTGATTAATTTTAATTACTTTTTGGATTACTTAAATATCAAATACGCAAATAAAGACAGTACCAAAGATGAATCGTCTGCTCAGTGGATTTTTATGATTAAAACTGCTCAGAAGATCATTGGTACCCATCTCCCAAGACCAGTGATATCGGTGAGATACCTACACAGAGCCCAAAGGATACTAAAGGACAGAACCCACCCAGCAACAGCCTGTTCACCCTGCTGCCTTATTCTACTTCCTAGAAGTTTCTGCTGCCACACCACCAGACTGCAGAGCAGCTTTTCCCCCCCAAGCTATCAGAACTCAGCAAGCGGGCAACGAAACTGCGCTCAGCAGCCTCCCGGTGAACACGACATGAAAAGGACCAAACAGCCTCATTAGCGGACTCAGTCCCGGGGTGACAAGAGGCAAACCAGCAAGAAAACCCCCTCCGTACTCTCTTCCCATTGGTCAAAGTGGTCCGCGGTGTCTGAGGCTGTGCTCGCTCCCGGGTCCTGTTCACTCACAGAGCTGGAATCAGTCCGCACAGAGTCTGCAAGACGGAGTGGGGGCGTAACCACATTCAACTACTGGCTACTCGCCAATCAATATCTGCAACAAATTCCTTCCTCGCTTTGTGTTTTTACAGGAAACACGTAAAGCAAATAGCACTCCGCTTTCCGTTTAATGGCTTAACATTTCTGATGTCAAACGCGTAGGAGCCATGCCATTATACATGACCCCCCACTTTTCTCAGGCGATTTCGGAGTTGGCTCATAGCCGAGGCAGTTTCATCACACACGCCTTCATAACTTCAGTCTGAAATCTGCATTTTGCTTCATTAACCGAAATCGTCAGCCAGGCTGACGAGCGCAGGTGTCAGACGCTTGTCACAGCACAGAGCTGGGCGGATGCAAACATTTAGAAAATCAGGCAAATGTTTTTTCAGTTTAAGGCTTTATTGTTCTACTACTGAAATCCAGTGAGCCACACCACAGCACTGGTGACTGAGTGGGAAAGCAGCCTGCGTCGCACTTTAACACCGGCAAGTAAATACTTTCACTTTCCATTAACGACATGTTAAGAGCTTATTTTCTCTTCAGAGCAAATGTAGACTTGACACTAACATCTAAATATGATGATCACTGGATTGATTCTGATATAATAACAGTATCCTGTTGTTGAAAACAGCATCGCTTCACATTGGTTATTATTCGTTTTACAGCACCGTACGACAGTGAAACTAATCTTGGCCTCACTCAGCAGCTACCAGCTGTTATTTATTCAGGAAACAATCATATTGGAGATGCACAGAGAGAGAGAGACAGAGAGAGACAGAGAGAGAGAGAGAGAGAGAGACAGAGACAGAGACAGAGAGAGAGAGAGAGACAGAGAGAGAGAGAGACAGAGACAGAGACAGAGAGAGAGAGACAGAGACAGAGAGAGAGAGAGAAAGAATATGGTGGATAAAACATCCTGTTGGGCTTTATGCATGACGCACAGCTTCCTCTGTGTGCAGGTTTACCTGCTTCAACAATGAGCTGCTTTGTGTTACTGCCACAATCATTCTTTGCATTGTAAAGATTATTTAGATGCCCATAATAAAAGAGACAGGTAAAAATAGTGGCTGGGCAGCGTGATATTTTAAAATTATCTTATAAACACATTCATGGAGATTTAAAAAGGAACATAATTGTTTTAAACAGAAATAGCTAAATTACAGATAATCAACAAGCAAAGCAAATTGCATTCCCTAGAAATAACCTGTTGGACAGTAGAATAAATATATATTTAAATATGTAGTAGATAGAGTAATTGTACTTTTTCTTGGGTAAAGATTTTGAGCAGTCTACCCACCACCGGGCAGCGGCACCAGTACTAGTGCTGATATGGTGAACATGAGACAGACAGCAAAACAGTTAATGGGAAGATTGATGATGATATGGCTTAATTATTTATTTATTTATTGTATTCAAGGACTTTAAGGTGGAGAGGTGTTTCTCAAGAATACAGGCATAAAGGTTTCTAAAGACCCCCGTCAAATGCTTTGACTGCAGAGTGGGCTGCTCAGGGACAAACTCCTGGGCCATTTGTTCGCTCCTGTCTGTGACCATCCTCTGCCTTAAAAACCTGTTAAATGTCCATAAACAGTTTAAAAGTAGTCAAAATTGTCACACAGAGACGAGCATCCTAAAGTAATTTAAGAGGAAGAGGACAGAGGTCACGGGAGCAGGAGTAGAACTTGTAAGTTGTATGAACAGCTAGTAGACACGTAGTAAAAAGACTTTGTTAGGCCAGTGGCAGAGTCAGAGTTTGTATTGAAGACAGCTCTGTGTTAAACATTTGTAGCAGGGAGAGTCAGGGCCAAGTGTAACGTTAGGATAACTAAATCCATTTGTACTGTGGCTACATTAACTAGCGGGTTATATGCTATAGCATGGTTTTAATGGTAGATCGTAAGTGGAGTTTTGTTCTACTTATATTACACTTTGTCTCTCTGACTGTGCACCCAAGAAATTTCAGCCGCACTAATAAGTCAGTTTTGTTTTCAAAAGTCATTACAAATGAGCATTTAAGTGATTTATAAAAAAAAAAAGAAAGAATGTCAAAGTTAAAACAATCAAAACAATTGTGATAAAATCTTTTTTCAACAAATACGCACAAGTAAAATTAATACAATTATTTTTTCAGTCCCTCTTCCTCTACAAAATAAATATCTTAATTAAAAAAATGAAGTGCTAATTTTTTAGTGATTCAAATGAAATTGTTATTGAGGAAGATGACATCGTGATAATTTCCTTTTATTGCCCAGCCCTACCGCTACCCCCCATTCACATGTTGCCGTGTGCATCAGGCTTGGGCTAATGTTAGTGTATTCATTATAATATCACATAACATTATACTATAAAGCTGACCACTATAGTAATGTTCAATCCAGTTCCAGGGCAGCAGTTTCATTTCTGTGCGTTGTTTCCATCCATCAAATCCTTGTGTTAGAGAAATGCTCCACATGGTGGTCTGTCCCCAATTAGCTAATAATAAGTACCAACACGTCAATAATCATTCATGCAGAACAAAGAGTTTGACATTTAAAAGTTTGCTACAGCGCGTCAAACTTTAATGTCCCACCCCATCCAAAACGCATTTTTATTTGAATAAATACACACGAACTGCTGTAACGTCGTTTTATATTAGCCTGACTAAATGTAAACAAAAAAAGCATTTACACATTGACCTTTTGAGTGACACCTCAATTGACCCAATAGAAACTTCCATGACCTGTTCACGGCCTACAATCCCCAGCGAGTGTCCTCTTTCTTTCTTGTACACACCAAGCCTCCAATTGTGCTGATGACCTGCGTGTCACACATGACATTACAGACATAAATATAAATTGTCAAATATAATAAGCGGAGAACTTTAAGCCCTGAATTCTTTAACTATCAAAATTATATAGGTCAGATTTTTCAGTTTTAAAATAAGTTTGGATGGTTTCCATGAGCCTCGGCTGCTGTTGCCATGGAGAAGGAGCCAGTGAAATGCACGAATCATATTGCAAGAGAATTCAAAATGCTTCAAATCGTTATTTCTTACATGTTTAAAGGCTGATTTTTGCTCCTGACTGAAAATTGAAGAAACCAGATGGTTAATTACGTTAAACTTTTCTTTATGGTCAGAATGGGTTAAACACTTGATGCCAAACAGAGGATCACTAAACAAATCTGAGGGAGAGCAGTCAAAACTATTATGATAAAAAGTAAAGTAAAGTATTAGTAAATCTTTCTTCAGTCCCTTTTCCTCAACAAAATAAAATATTTTAATCGAAAAATTAAGTGATAATTTGTTCGTGATTCAAATGATTTAAACCAAATATTTATTGATGATATAGTGAACATTTATTTTAATGAGGAAAATTTTATTGCCATAATTATCAGTTTTATTGCCCAGCGCTATTGTCAAGTCTCCCGAACGCCATAAGGTGGCGGCTCACCTTCCATTTTTGGCACTTCACAGCCGCCTGGCATATTGCACCATTTGGTGATTTTAGATTTTTAACATTTACTTTTAAAACTATATTTCAAACGACAAAATGTGAAACAACACTCCTTGCATAAAAGACAGGTGCAAGAACAAAAATACAATTAACTGTAAAGAGAGTTAAGCAGTGTGGACGAGGCTAAAACATTAAAGTTGTCCTCTTACTGCAGGACACATTTGCTTCTTTGCTGTTTCTCTGCTGAAGCTATTTCTGCTTTAACCTGTCTTTTATTTTGAAGGCCAACATGCCGAACATCCGGCTTCGCTCTGACTGCAGGAAGCTAACTGTTAGCTGGCGGCTGCTGAGCGGAGTCAGCGGCTCTCTGCTCTTCTTTCATCACTGAACTCACAGTAAAGTAGAAAAAGCTGCAACCTACCGTCTCTGTTTACTTCCGGCCTCACGTGACCCTCCAGCAGCTCGCGCTGGCGGTCGACCTCCCGCTCGTACTCTGATATCGTTCTTTCAAACAGCCCGAATATCTCTTCAGCAGCCGCACTCAGTCGCTGCTTCACCAACGCTCTCAGCACCTGGACTTTACTCATTTTACCGGCCGACTCTTCCTCCTCTCGCAGCCGCTCCCCTCGCTCCGTCAGACGGCAGCAGCCTCTCGCTCCGTCCCGCCGCCTGGAACTCCCGCCGCTTCTTCTTCTTCTTGTTTTATGGCAGGTTGCAACCGTGACTTTTGAAGGTGCGCCTACCGCCACCTGCTGTGTCGGAGTATGTAGCGTCAACTGTGTTCGCTGGGACTAGATAGGAAAATATATACATATAAATAAATAAAACAAACACAAACAACTAAATCCTATTAATTCAATTCAAATTAGCTTTATTGGCATGAATGTGTAACAACAATATTGCCAAAGCATCATACAAACTACACAAGAACAATCAGCCCCATACATTTTATTAAACAAGTAATTACAGCGCATTTTTGTGTTTGTTAAAAAAAATAAAATATATAAAAAATAAAATAAATAAAACAGTAAGCATGTGTGTGTATGTGTGATTTAAAAAAAAATAAAAATATATTAAAAATAAAATAACAGTAAGCGTGTGTGTGTGTTAAAAAAATAATATATTAAAAATAAAATAAATAAAACAGTAAGCTTGTGTGTTAAAAAATAATATATTAAAAATAAAATAAATAAAACAGTAAGCTTGTGTGTTAAAAAATATATTAAAAATAAAATAAATAAAACAGTAAGCATGTGTGTGTATGTGTGATTTAAAAAAAATATATATATTAAAAATAAAACAGTAAGCGTGTGTGTGTGTTAAAAAAATAATATATTAAAAATAAAATAAATAAAACAGTAAGCTTGTGTGTTAAAAAATAAAAAAATATTAAAAATAAAATAGATAAATAAAACGGCAAGCGTGTGTGTCTATTATATATCCCTATATTTTTCAGATATTCATCCTCTCATCCCTATATTTCCATGTTCTACATCTTCCTTGGACCTACATTCCAAACATTCATCTGATTGAATTTTGCCCATTAAAAACAATGTTTTTAGATTTAACCCTGTGTGATCAAACCTCAGCCTGGTTAAACGCTCTCCTCTCTTCTGTTCCTTCTGGTCACACCCTGAGCATTAATAGATTTCTGTAATATTTCCTTCCACTTTTATCCACATCCCACCTGTCCTGCCATTTCTTCATCATTTCATAGCTTCTCCTTTTCTAAGGGGAATGTCATTTATGACATCGTTCGTCCTGGTTGATTTTTTGAGCTATTTTGCCTGCTCCCTCATTCCCTTTTATACCTTCGTGGGCACCCAGCAGAATCTCACATCTATCCGTAGTCTAAATAAACGTAGTTGGATTTCTAGCATTAGATCTTCTCGATTAGATTTCAGATGGCGCAGCAGCATCTGAAGGAGGGAGGAGAAGGGAGGCAGAAAGACGTTTTACTCGATTAAATTTTAGAATTATTTATATTTTATATCCTTCATTTAGTTTTTTTCTCTTCTTCTCACTGTTGTTTTTTAATTTCTTTTTCTAGTTAATCTCCCCTCCTTTTTTGTTTTTTTGTTATTTTTTATTATCTTGTTGGTTTTTTGCCTAAATTCAAAGCATTTAATCTCTTTACTTCCCAACTCAGTTTCCCCCGCCCACCTCCATTTTTCTGCCTCTTGAACACACACACAAACACAAATTGCCTTAAACATCCAACATGTTATTATGTCTGTTACGTCATCTAATAAATCATATTTTGAATACTATAAAGGGCTGATACAGAATCAACACACCTGTCTGGTTCTTCTTCCTCAACCCACTGCAGTCCTACAATAATCGCCATCATCTCTGCAGACACCTGTGGCCTGTACTATGAAGCGAGGTAACCGGCTTATCCAGGTAACTTCAGGAGTAACTTCCCGGTTAACCTGACTATGAAAGCTGTTACCCGGGGTCTGTTGCCATGGCAATATAACCTGTATCTCTAAACCGCTTCGGGCAGGTTTTGTTCGTGGTTAACTCGAGGTTCCCCTGCACCATCTGTACTCAGTGTTAATGATGAGAAGTAGGATATATAGGCTACAAACCACTTCATAAAATGTGTTTAGATTTCATCCCGATTCACTCTGGAGTTTTCTTCTGAATACACCCGATCCAGGGCAAAGTGACTGTGGGCTAAACTCAGGAGTGTTTCCTCACTGCTGAATCCGCAAAGTTTAATATAACTTTCCAATGAGTCCACACTACACGGCAGACGTGTGTGTGATGTTGCAGCCTTGCAAAGTGAAGTTTCTCTCATAAATGTGTGACTGTAATGTCAGAGAATATTCATGTTTTTTACTAGTAGATTAATCCTGGAAGTTAAATTCAGTCTCTGTTTATTCCCCCTCTCCGCTGGCTCCTTTTTTCTATTACAGTGGACTTTATGTGCAGCTGTACCTTTACATCTTAATCATATTACACATAGAAGAGGATCCCATAAAATACAGGATAGAGATTTGAACTACAATCAGAACACTGAAGATAATTAGACTACAGAGTTACTTAATGTGAACAAGCCTCCCTGGCTTTGTCGGTCGCCACAATATTAGATTTGGCCGTTAACTTGTCTTTACGGTCATAGTTTCCTGACACTACCAACGTGCATTCCTCTGGAGAAATACGGAGCATGCGCGGCCGAACACGCCCCTTTTATGCGAATGCGCACCAACTCCAATTAATTTAACACCGACTGAGTTTGTCAACCCTGAGTTTGCCTGATAACCCAGAGTTAACTCTGAGTAGGTTGAACTCCCTTCGTAGTGCAGGCCACTCATCAGGTAATCTTTTCCCAATGCTTACATTCATTGTTGGTATAAATCTTCCTATTCCTACTGTAGAAACTTGCCTTTGTGGAAGCTGGATAATAAATAGAGCTTCTGCAATGGCACATCAGTTAAAACATGAGAACCAGAGATGAGAGCCGTTCAGTTTATTGTCCTTTAAATTTTATCACTTCAGTAGTTGACTGACGGATGATTGAAGAGCTAAAAGACAAATAAAAACAATCAGTAGACAGAAAGGACTCCGTCAGGTCTTAATCAAATTAAAGCACTCATTCATTATTGAACAAGGAAACAACAATAACTATAACAAAAATACAGAACTTACTCAAATAATGCATCCAGTGCATAATCAACTGGAAAGGATTAGCAAGACTTCACGTTGGGGATGTGGTTATACCAAAAGGGAAAATGGAAAATATACATTGGTTTTCTACAGCCGCCCCTCAAATGTGGGAACACATTTGATTTAATTAAAAAATGTACTAGTCTAAGCAGGTTTGGGGTCGGGATACTAGTTTTGCAACAGGTCTGATGTACAGTTTGCCCTTGATGTTAACCTCTCCTGTGCGGACACATCCATCTTGGTAGCTGTGGGTCCATCACCATGACTACCTCCGACACTGTCAGATTGGAGGCGAGAAGTGATCTACTGGGAGCTGGCCCAATAAGGTCTGAGTCAGCAGAGGCATCCCGCCGGCCCATGAGGAGCAGATTTGGGGTCACAGGGTCAGGGTCAGCCAAGTCTGATGACACCAAGGGGTTTTGAGTTCAGGATGCCTTTGATTTCTATCAAAACAGTGTTAAGCACCTCCTCCGTAACAGTTTGTGCCCCCAGTGTCACTCGCAATGCTGTTTTAATTGTTCTCACCTCCCTCTCCCACATTCCTCCAAAGTGGGGGGCGTTAGGGGGGTTAAACTTGAACTGGATTTTCCCTTTCTCCAACTTAGTGCTGGATTCAAGGAAGCAAAGGTTTTCCTACCGAGTTCCTTTGCTCCTCCTTTAAAGTTTGTCCCACAGTCTGACAGGAGTTTGAAGGGCTGACCTCTGTGTGCTGTGAAGTGTCGTAGGGCCATATGAAAGCTGTCAGTGTCTAGGCTGGTTAGGACTTCTGGTGTTTGGCATTATCCTGCAGGGTTTGATGGGTTCCCTCCACAAGAGTTAGGTCAGGACTACAGTGGGTTCCGAGCACCGTTTCATTGATGGGGATTGTTAACTCACTCTTTAGTGACTGAGCTAGCTGTGCTCCTGTCAGGGCTGCAGACAGCTCGAGGCGACCCGGGATCTTGCCTGAACAAATGAATCATGAATCTCTCCTTTCACATCCTCCATCCTCAAGTAGGCTATGGACCCATAAGCCTTTTTTCAGAGGCATCACAGAAAATATGCAGTTGTCTTTGTTTAACAGGACATGGGATGTTAAAGTCATGCCATCTTGGGTACTGGATGTAGGCCAGGTCTAGAAGCACATTTTCCCATTCTGACCATGCTTGCTGAAGTTCACCTGGAGGTATGGGGTCGTCCCATTCCCTTCTTTTTATCCAGAGTTGTTGGAGGAGTTAAAGTGTTATACACTACTGGTCTATGCTTGTAGTCTATGATGAAAAGGGCCGTCTTAATCCGAGCGTGCCCTCTGTTGGGACTGTCCTGTCAGCCTGGGCCTCAGGGTAAATGGTCAACAAACAGACTGAATGTTGGCAGGAGGGTTTTCTACCTTGTCCTCTTCATCTTTAGATCAGGCTGTATACGTATCTAAGTAACTGTAATATTTACTCCTTATGTACTGACTTGCCAGATGTCCTTTCCCACTCTCTTCCCATTCGCTTTTTAGTTCCAATACATTTAAGTCTCAGTTTTTGGAATAGGGTTATTACTAACCAGGGAGAAGCAGGTATTATTTAATCTATATTCATCTGATTTAGTCTTTGTTAACCAGCCAAAGCCATTAACTTTAAAAGAACTGTACTCCCGACGTTCCTGAATAATGCTCTTTGCATGGTTTTCATTAACACATCCACGTAAGCGACTCCAGTATGTAAGCTTGAGCTTTTCATGGTGGAGGGCACTTCTAACTCAACCTGGATTGCTTTAATTGGTGTTGATCTCTTTACACCAACACAAATTCAATGCTTTGTTACTAACTCTATCCAACTTCAACAAATGTGTGTTAGCTGTTGCTCCATATACACAGCATCCATAATCTATTATTGACCTCATTAGAGCCTGTAAATATACATCAGTGAATGTTTATTTGCTCCCCAGTCTTTCCCCACTACTGCTCTCATTAAGTGTATGACTTTCTTGCATTATGATTCCACCTTTTCGATGTATATTTTCCATTTTCCCTTTTGGTATAACCACATCCCCAGATATTTAAGATGATCTACTGTTTCCATATTGTGGGCGTCTAACTCCAGGTTCTGTTTGTCCATCCCTTTCTTCCTGGTAAACATCATACGGCAAGACTTACTTGGAGAAAGCTTAAAGCCCCAGTTATACGACCATTGTTCTCTCTCTCCCTCTTCTTCTTCTTCTGTCAGCTTTATTAGCAGTTGGCAAACTACGAATTGGTGTATTACTGCCACCGACTGCTATGCAGTGTGGATCAGAATGACTAGTCTTTAAATTATAAAATGAGATAATTAAACCCACTTGATCATATTAGTTACTCTAAGACAGTTGTTCTCAAACCTTTTCATGTCAAGAACTCGTAAAGTGACACAAATTAAACCACGGACCCCCATTAGAAAAGATTTTGTCTTTTAGGATTTTGTCTGATAGGATTTTTGTTTTTAGATGGTTGATTACAGAAAGTGAAAGAAGCCCATGAGCAAAACAGTCATGTGTTCTTATGGATAGAATTATGGTGACAATTAATGTCTCCCCTTTTTGCTGGGGACCCCTTGAAACCCCCTAAAGGATCCCTGGGGGTCCCTGGACCCAAGTTTGAGAATCTCTTGTCAAAGATACTGAGGTACAATTTCATATCAATATCAACTTTTTTATAGATCACAAAACATAAACTACACTAAAGACTCGATCACCTCTGGTTTTAAGGCCTGATTCTAGGTACATCCAGGAGGAGGAGATTGGTCATTTCTTTTGATGCCATTATGTGCTGGTACCCATTCAAATACAGCTGCAAGCACAACCTTCTGCTTTGGAGATAAAGTCTTCCCATTAATCTAGTTTTGTTAATCAAAGAGGTTTTTCTATCTGCTCCTCTTGACAGGTTCATGACCTCCAGCCCTCCTGAGATCTTCCTGCTGATTCTTGTTACGCTCCATGACTTTATATACAGCACACTCTCAACCCGACACACGGCTGGACTGAGACAAAATATAGGCCCGGCGTTTTTGGCCTCGGCCCACCACAATGAGTCGGACCCACAATGAGTCATGTCATCAAGATAGCGGCTCACGCTAGATTTCCTTGTAGAGACGCCACAAAAGCCGTTAAATCTTATTTGGATAACCTCTTAACTCAAGAAAAAGATGCATATAGACACAAACTGTAAGTGTTGGTTAATTGCGATCCATTTTACAGCACCCGCTGTTGTATTTCTGCCGTAAAAAACCGCCAGGTCCCTACCAGCGTGGTAATGTTTGCGTTTATCTTGAATGGAATACTTCATCTATGAGCCCAGGCTTGTTTCCTCGTTGAGTAGTGCATCCGATAGCACCTCAACCAAAAGTAACAAACTCAAAGGTGTATCACTTGCTTCCTGGTTGGCGGGCAACGGAAAATAACGTCTTTTTGACCTCCAAGGGAACGTTTTCCTTGGAAAGTGACGTCACATGAAAACTATGAATACACCATCCCTGCATGTGTAACCTACTGTAATGTTCCCCCAAACCAACATAAAGCTGAAGTAAGTGCTGTGGATAAGTGTGTACTCATTTGTATTTTACTGATCAGAGGTGGCCGTGGAGTAGACTCAAGTACAAGTAATTGTCAAAGGGAAAAAAAGTCTGTTAGAAGTATTATTTCAAATTATTATTAGGTCCAGAATTGTTGGAATTCCCTGTGAAAGCTGTGCAGTTTCATAATAACGTGCTGGGAATGAGCAAATCGATGTTTATTCAGTGAGCAAAGGACACTTTGCTGCCTGTAGGCCATCGAGTCTTTTTCAAGGGAACTGTGACGGACTGACTACGGTTGAGTACGCACTGTGACTGCCATACAAACGAGCCTGGCTCTGTTGCGTTGCGGTCAAGTAGCATGTTTGATACGCTGTAGACCCGGGTTCAAATCCGGGTGGGGCGACTGCTCTTTCCGTCACATATGGTGTCAGAAGTGTGAAATTGTTGGAACCAGTGTGTGATGCATTTGAGGGACCCCCAGGGTTGGTGGTGTGTGTGGGATGGGAGAAGCACTAGTGGGTGGGGGCACCCTGAGATGGGAGGAGTACAATTGGTGAGCAGTGTGATGGACCACTGTCACTACTGTTGAGTATGCGCTGTGACTGCCATACCAACGATCAAATATACTGAATAAAGTAATTTATGATCATCAGCTCTATTCCCCTCCACCACAGCATATAGTCCTGATCTCCCCTGGAAGGAAGGAGTAAATCAAGAGGATAAATAAATGCAAAGAAAAAGTTCTAAATGCGATGAGATGCCTCGTAGGGTTGGACTGAGGAGTTAATGTACCATCCTTGAAATACAAGGTGTGTGCAGTATGGATCGGCAGCAAGAACATCACCTGGGTGTTCCCTGCAAGTCGAAGCAGGGACAAAAGCTGCTGTATTTAAGAAACAATTATTGGATGCGTTTGAGAGGGCACGGAGATAATCTCCCAAACAAACAAGTGCTTCAGGTCTGCAGGCTGGGAAGGGACGGAGCAGGAAACAACAAGTTTGAACAAGTTTTGGCAGGACAGGAGACCGGCGAGTGAAAGGAGTTCTGCCTGACAGCGGCGTGGCCTACAGCCTCTGTGTGGTTACTAGAACCACTGGTGGGGGATTTAGAGTTACTGCAAGTTCAGGTGAGAAAGTACAGGAAGTACAGGTGTATATGGACGGATCAAAAGATCCAATAACGGAGCTTCTGCTTCAGCTTCCTAATACTGCATATTTACAAATGGACATCAAACTCCTTAAGTGTGTGCACGGTTGAGTTGTACGCCATTTGGATGGGTTTAGAGTAAACGCTGCATCCAGTGGGGGGGATGGCGAGGGTGCAGTGGATTAGACACATGCTTCTGTTGTGGGAGACCTGGGTTCATTTTCCTAAGACACTTAACTCCTAGATGACCTCCGACATATAAAGTAAGTAAGTACGAGGTCCAGCAGCATAACGTCACTGATTATATGAATCTTCCGACAGGATCGGTCAGGATGAACTGACAGCAGCCTCTCTGATCATGAAACACCACTTCGGGTAAAAATGAGATTGTAATGGGTATAATATTACAGATTCTTTTTTAGTAATGAGTTATATTACTGTGTTAAAGCAAAAAGCAAAACAGTACTGTACTCCCAACACTGATAACTAATCGAAAGTTTGTACAACCTGAGCTCTGAAAAACAAGAAAATAAAGCATTAAATTGGGAGAAATATTGCTTAAAATAAGCTAAATTATCTGCCAACAGAACAAGAATATTTCACTTGCTACTTAAGGACAAAGAAAACAGTGTAGTGTGGTTCCTGCTACACACACAGAACTTAACAGATAATTAAATGTGTATTAAAATATGGTAATATGTACCGCTTGAGCCTATGTACACACATGTTACATAATTAAGAGCTTAATAATTAAGATTACAGAAATGCAACACTAAGGACGCAAGCTGCCAAACTCAAAGAAGAAGCAGCAGCTCTGGGGTCAGCAGATGAAGGGAAAACATATTTAACTGAAAAGAGAGTGTCTGAGCAAACAGACACGGTTAGATGCTACTGACCACGCGAAGAACACTTTACTGTAGGAAATATATATCAGAGAGGAAGAACATGATGGAATAAAAAGAGAGAACAAGACACACCGGGCGCTGTGGGAGAGAACTACCTCCAGAAGGTGGCAGCAGCCATTACTCTGTTTTGTTTCTTTAAAAAGTATCTCAACAGTAAGGAGCCGTGTGTCCGGATAAACCTGCTGCTCTCCCACGAGGTAGCTTAGCATGCTAACAGGAAGTTAGCCTCGCAGCGCTGCTCAGAGTGAAGAAAGTGTTTGTGAGCTGGTGGAGAAAATGAGTAAAGTCCAGGTGCTGAGTGCGGCTGCTGAAGAGATATTCGGGCTGTTTGAAAGGACGATATCAGAGTACGAGCGGGAACTCTGTCGGTCCAAAGAGGAGAACCAGAGACACCGGAAACTGCTGGACGCGGTGTTCCAGCCTGAAGTCCGGCTGCACAGAACAGGTCGGTAACGAGACCAGCGTCAAGACAACAATCACGTCCAGAGCCCAGCAAGCAATTTCACGGTTAAAAGACTCGTCTCATAGACGTCTAACCACAGACCAAATACACAGCTTTTAAATGACTACATATCTGCCTCTAATAGACAACAGAATAGTGGCTAAAGGATTGTTTTTACTCAAACAAAACAGGTTCTCACAAATGGTAATCCGTCCAAACAAATTAAATATAAAGATTTTATTAAGAAAAAGGATTACAACGGAGACAACTTAAGATAATACAACATGATGAAAATATAAAGGACTTATTGCTAAAATATTACTAAACAAAACAGGGAAAAAAAATATATATATATATGAAAATACAAACAATTTTAACAACGTGGTAATAAAAACATAAACAATGATAAAATAAATGGGTTGGCTACATCCAAATCTAGATCTTCATCTACGCTGCTACTTGATGCAGGAAGAGCGTCAGATGGGTCTCTGGGTTGGCGCCAGTCTCTCGGGTAAATGGGATCCATAACGGTATTCCCGCACAGTACCGACTGAGCTAAACTTGCACATGAGTACAAAAGGATTTTAAATCACAGCTGACTCCACGCTGCATTCAGGCGGAGTCTAAACATCCAGACTGTTTCACTTACAGGCTGCATGACGTCAGATAAATAACCATACATGATACAGATGTTGACTGGCAAGACAATGTTGGTAACGATGGCAAAGATAGCGGCAGCAGTCGTATTCTGAGCATGTGTCACGACTTCACTCGTGGGAAAAAAAAAAGGAAGACGATTAACTTAGGTTACAAGTCACGGTGGATATTTTAGGCACGGACCAGGTTTCAGTTGTTTGATAGGCTGCGTCATTAATAAGCTGACGTGCGGCTCACCTGCTGCCGTGGTAACGGATTGCGGGTGGAAATATACGTAAAAAAGACGAGTTCTCAGTCTTTTAGTCGACTTTATAAAACATACTGCTGATGGAGAAAATGGAGCAGCTGGCGGGAGAGAGACAGAGAGAGGCGGGGTGTTTACCTGAGGTGTAGGTGTGAGTGTGGGGAGAAGAGAGGCAGACTTAAAGACAATAATAAGAATGTTCCTGGTCAGTAAAACCTGCTTTCACAGGGCGGTATAATGTGAAAATTTTAGATTTTTTTTTAGCTGGGGCTCAACGTCATGATGTCTTTCCGCCATCACCGATGGACGATGGCGTCGTCATTCGGCCCAACCCTGAACAGCGTCTTCACTCTGCGCTCCATCTGAGCGTCTTCAGCCTGTTTCCCTTATGTTAGTAAGAACACATGTAAACCGACCGCGGCACAAACCAGACAGACAACATGAACATTTGGACGGTTTATTGAGGTTTTGCAGTGTTTTGAACAGCGACGCAGTCGCCTCCATGATCACACTCCTTGCTTTGAACTAATCTTCAGGTGGGAGAGGTCCCTGTGAATCATGGTGCAGTTAACGATGTAGCCTGCAAACTACATTCAGAAGCAGATCTCTACATGACCATACATTACGTAGATAAACTTCTCTGAACGTATTTCCTGGTTTGCAGTCAGTGGATTCTGAAGCCTGCGACACATCAGGGACTCTCACCAGTTAAGTACTTCTGCGTAAAATCGACGGCATATCTCTCCTCAAAAATGTAGCTACACATCGAGGCGACGCGGACCTTAAGCACTGTGATTGGTCGGCTGGGCTACGCACGCAGACCCTACGCAGGAGTATAAATGGGCCTTTAATCTAGCCTCCAGTTAAACTGGCAGCTGCTGAGCCGTTCATCATGAACATGGCTTTAAAACTTCATCCAACAAGACCCAAACAAAGAAGCGCTGAACACAAAATAGGTTAGTAACCTGAGGTTAGTGAACATGTTTACCTCAGCATTGGCCATCTAACGTTAGCTTGCTTCTTGCTTTAGCTACGACCTACGGGAGGTAAAAGTGTAATTTATACTTCTGCGTCAAATGAACGGCGTAACCTCTGCGTAGCCCCGTAGCATACACCATCGCCTGACGTGCACCTCCTCATCGAGTTGACGCGGACCTTAAGAACAGTGATTGGTCGGCTGGGCAGCCTCGTAATGCCTCCGAGCCAACAGGAAGTGCCCCGTGCTTTGAAGTAACTTTTACTAGCGGCCAAAACGGCGGCTGTAACACGGTGGATCGATTTATTTGACCGTCGCAACCCAAGCGAAATGACTCGTTTCACTATCAGAATGTGATGCATTTGAAAAGGCTACACCAGCCGCAAGTTTACAATTTTACCTCCATTCACGTTAGCAGAGCGCTAAACCGGAAGTTAGCGTGCTCGGCCGGCAAAAATCAACACAGTGGACGCTGTAGCGCTGCTGCCAACAAGCGTTTGGGGGTGTAATTGCAAAGAACAGAAAATAGTTTTTTCCTAACTTTGACATAATATAAAAGAGAATAGTTAACGGTGGCTGTCACATGTTTCATAAAGTAGTATTTGGTCAAATCACAGAGTTGTTTCTGTCAGAAAAAACTTTATCACAAATTAAAGTGGCTGACTGGGTGTACAGTTGTCGATATACATACGTGACAAATGCAAGGAGAAAGCAACATGAAGCGTCTCAGTCTGGAGTCCAGAACAGCTTCAGGGCTCCAAGTCTGTGGAACTCTATTGGAGGGATGTACACCTCTGTTATTTAATCAAGTCGTCTCACTGAGATCTAGAGAGAGACAGTAGAGAGAAACACAAACGCAGTCAGACAGAACAGAAGGACAGACAGCATCAGAGACAGTGAGACATTAATACATAGGTCTGAAAAGGAGATTTTATGTTCTATCATCTGCTCTTGCAGGTCGAAATCAGGTGACTGTAAAGGCCACAGCATTTTATTCACATCATGTCCATCCTCACCAAACTGTCCTCTCTTTTATTCAGCTTCTTCCTTTCCTTTAGCCCCGTCTGTGTGGTTTCTGAAAAAGAGAAAATGAATCAAAGAAAGTAAAACATAATAAAGTATGTTGCCTGACATGATTCCCTGTTATGCCACAAGGTGGAACCGTGAGGTAGGCACACAGTAATTTAAAACAGTAGGTGCGTTTGACTTCAAGCGATGCAGGCTGGACATAAAATAAGGCATGCTGGTTATAAATTGTGGCCAACTTTTTCCGGTGCTGCAAAACTTCACCAGCAGGGCAGCTGCAGTCACCGAGTCTGGCAAACAGAGTTGCTTTTTTTTTCTCAGCTGCACAAAGTTGGAACCACACTTTCGCCTGATGACAGATCTCACGGCGTTGGCAAAGAAAAATGCCGCAAGATCAGTCATTGTTCTAAGCTCACGCAGGTAGAATGCGTCTGACTCGATGACGCTGTTTTTATACCCCGCCTCTGCAGTCAACTGCAGCTCACGTTAGACTACCAAGTCGGTAAAACTCATCTCAAATGCACCTAATGTTTGGAAGGTTACCGATTACAGTTACCCTATTTAACATTCAGCATTACGGCCTTTGGGGAAATAATTAAACATTTTCACTAAGTTTCCTCTTTATTCTCGGACAAAACAAAGCAAGTTGGTTCTGAACTGAACGTCCTGTATTGAACATCCCAAGTGAGCATTTACTCACAGTTTTCCTCATTGTGTCTGTGTTTCAGTGAGTCATGAAGACGTTCAGCAGCTGCAGGGGAGTAAACAAGAGGTTCCCTCTGAGCAGAAGGAGTGGAGACACAGTCTGGACCAGGAGGACCCACTAGAGGTGCCACACATTAAAGAGGAACCGGAGGAACTCTGGACCAGTCAGGAGGGAGAGCAGCTTCCAGGGCTGGAGGAGGCTGATATCACCAAGTTCACATTCACTTGTGTCCCTGTGAAGAGTGAAGAAGATGATGAGAAACCTCAGTCCTCACAACTTCATGAGAGCCAAACTGAACAGATGGAAGCTGATGGAGAGGACTGTGGAGGACCAGAACCAGCCAGGGACTCTGATCCAGATAGACTTTTACAATCTGAGACTGAAGACTCTTCTGAACCTGAAGTCAGTGATGATTGGAAGGAGACCAGAGCACCTCAGTCAGGTTTAAACTTTCTGCAAAATCACGACTATTATTCTGGTGCGAAACCATTTTGCTGTTTTGAGTGCGGAAAACTATTTAACCAAAACTCAAATCTGAAGACACACATGAGGATTCACACAGGAGAGAAACCTTTCAGCTGCTCAGTCTGTGGTAAAAGATTTGCCCAGAAGATTTTCAGAACCACATGAGATGTCATACAGGAGAAAAACCTTTCCACTGTTCACTTTGTAAGAAAGGTTTTTCACGGTATGCACATTTACAGTTACACATGAGACTTCACACAGGAGACAAACCATTCAGCTCATTGACTTTGCTTAATCAGGTCAAAAGGCATCAGTGTGCCGGTCGTCGGTCCTCGCAGCTTCATCAAAACCAGAGTGAGGAGTCTCGAGCCAGCAGCTCAACAGAACACATGAAAACAGAACCTGAAGGAGAGGACTGTGGAGGACCAGCCAGGAACTCTGATCCAGATAGATTTAAACGGGGAACGGAGCAATTTTTATTTGATGGTCAGTTTGTCAGGAAAATGGAACTGAACTATTTTTGAACTGGACTGCTTTGCTGAATAGAAATGAACTGGATCCTGAGGGGTAATTCGAGTTGTGTTTATTGTTTTGTGATACCCGTTTTTTAATACATGTTTCTTCTGTTGCATTTCATATTGAGTTGTGGTTTTCATTATTGTTCACTGGTTGCATTCAATGTGAGGATCCATAACATAGGCTAGTATATGTACCCTTGGTGACATTTGGTGAGTAAAACATATTATTCTGCATAAAACACAAAATATCTTGCGTGTCAGGAGAGAAAACCTGACTGGAACCCCGAAAGAAACCATAAGTCAGACTGTCACAAGGTCTCCTGCAGAATCTGCAATATTTTCTTACAAAGCCAGCTGTTTGTATATAAAGACCAGCCTAAAGGTTCACTGAGGCCATGGAGCATGTTCAGAAGACAGTTCCCCCATCAGCATTGACAGTAACAGAGGTGCTGATTATGATGATAGCATACGTGCATAATCATATTTATCTCATTAGTAGCTACTCTAATAGGAGACAATGAATACCGTAAAACTTAGCAGAGTCCTGGATGGATACAGGGTCGCAGGGGGCTGGAGCCAATCCCAGCTGACATCGGGCAAAAGGCGGGGTTCACCCTGGACAGGTCGCCAGTCCATCGCAGCAGACTGAATCCGTTTGAGTCAGTTTGAGCCTGCCTATCACACAGTACAAGTGAACCACCGCATCCCCCGACGACTGAGACAAAAGACAACGATATTAAGGATCAGCAGTGTTCCTGTACAGCTGGTCGGCCTCTGTTCATTATTACAATCATTAAAAAGCAGAACAGCAGGACTTTATTACGTTCCAGTCAGTAGTCCATGAAAGTGTCACACCTCAGTTAGAGCAAGTCCTATACTGCGCTGTGATTGGCCAGCTGTGTATTCGGGGCGTGGCTTAGCGAACGGTCAGTTTACCTCCTACGTTACAGCAGGGCTCCAGAAACCACAACATCAGCCCCTCCACTTTAGGTCATGCTAGAGCATACATCGGGGGCCGCATTACTTCCTTTACAGGAAAAGAAAGGAGGACACAAAACAGCAAGAAGCGGATGGTCTTTGAAATCGACAGGATATTTCTCGAAACCCTACAGCAGCTGTGCTGGGAGTAATACCAAAGGCCCTGGGCAGGAGGGCCAGGAAATAAATATAAAGTCAATGCAAATACGCAGAGAGATGCGATTTCCTGTCAGGCGGTGTGAAGGACAGCCCAGTAGCAGAGAGCGGAGATACTGAATCTCTGCCGGCCGACAGACAGCTGCTGAGTGAAAAACACCCGTAGTCGGACTGGATTCTGCTGCTGCAACTGAGCCGTGACCGGCGAGAGGAGCGCAGTGGTCCAGTGACAAAACCCAGGTGAGGAAAGTGACACGAGGATTAAATTTGCATTTGGTCTGAATGCATAGTAAAAACAATCCAGTGTATGGCCACATATAATTCTGTATTTCTGTTGACTTTCCATAATGATAATGCACTCACCTCTGCGTGAAGAATCCCATTTGTGTGCTGAAATCCCCCCTCTGGCTTTAGACTGCAACACACACCACTGCTTTTCACACTCCTCACCGCTGTGCATGATGAGAGAACGAAGGGTTAACCTGCCGTGTCCTCCCTCTGTCCAATTGGCTTTTCTGTTTTTTTGTTGATGACATTAAAAGTTTTTGACACGCACCTGTAATGTAGATTATCTACATTCATACAAATGTTTCACCGCCGCGCTTGGTGGACATTAAACAAGAAATGATGCAATCAAATCACTAAATCAAATGACTCATTAGGGATGAAACGGTAGGAAAATTTGATATCACGATTATTTATCACGGTTATCAGTGTTATCACAGAGTTGTAAAAGTGTGGCGAAAAAGATTAAAATGTACTGAAACACACACTGAAACCATTTCAACAAGTTTTATATTGAAAACTACAAATAAAATTGGCTTTTTGTTTGTATAAACATCAAAATAACAGCCAATACTTTTGTAATTCTATGAACAAAAGTGTGCATGATCATTATCAAGATTTTATATTTTATAGTTAATGCAATGACCCCGTGTCTTTACTCTAATGAGCCCAACAACTGACATAAAAACAGGAGTCTGCAGCGTTTCTCCTGTTGTGACACTTTTACTAATTAATAACTTTAACTTTGATCGCTGCTGGATTTAAAATGAACAAGATGCTGGTTGGTTGACTAAACTGCGTAACGTGTTCTCATGTGTTCTCAAGTAAAAGTAGCTCGTTTAAAATTTACTGAGCAAAACTTATTTATACTAATTTAATATCTTAATTTTACTTATTTTATTAAATCACAGTCTTTTGCGTCATTGTCTTGTGCTATTTCTGCCATTCATTTCTATTTTTCTGCATCATCATGGATCATGCATAAAATCAGAAGCGTTGGGCTTCATCTAGCCAGAGAGAACGATCACTGACCATCCGCAGAGAGAGGGCGTGGAGCGGTGTGGACGGTTATTTTTCCCTCTGGATGGATGACGCCTGGCGCTCCTGATCCATGTGCTACTACAGCTGGAGAATCTCCGCAGTCACAGTCAGTCCTGTTGCACAGCATTTATTTTTACTCAGTAACAGATGTTATTTTAAATGTATTACGTAAGTACAATACTTCCAACAAAACATACTAAAAGTAAAAGTAAAATTAGATAGATTAAAAAATTACTTTAAAAGTACAAGTACATAAACACACTACTCACTTACAGTATCGTGAGTAATTACAATTTGTTACTTTCCACCTCTGGAAACAAATGAAAAGCTAGGTTATTAATTGAATTTCTGTAACGCAGAAATCTAAGTTTATAAAGTTAAAAGCCCTTCCAGTGGACGGGCACTGTTCTACAAGCTGCACGCTCACTACTTTACACTGATATACAAGCTGTACGCTCACTACTTTACACTGATATACAAGCTGTACGCTCACTACTTTACACTGTTATACAAGCTGCTCGCTCACTACTTTACACTGATATACAAGCTGCTCGCTCACTACTTTACCCTGTTCTACAAGCTGCACGCTCACTACTTTACACTGTTCTACAAGCTGCACGCTCACTACTTTACACTGTTCTACAAGCTGCACTCTCACTACTTTACACTGTTCTACAAGCTGCACGCTCACTACTTTACACTGTTCTACAAGCTGCACGCTCACTACTTTACACTGTTCTACAAGCTGCACGCTCACTACTTTACACTGTTCTACAAGCTGCACGCTCACTACTTTACACTGTTCTACAAGCTGTACGCTCACTACTTTACACTGTTATACAAGCTGCACGCTCACTACTTTACACTGTTATACAAGCTGCACCCTCACTACTTTACACTGTTCTACAAGCTGTACGCTCACTACTTTACACTCTTATACAAGCTGCACGCTCACTACTTTACACTGTTATACAAGCTGCACGCTCACTACTTTACACTGTTATACAAGCTGTACGCTCACTACTTTACACTGTTATACAAGCTGCACGCTCACTACTTTACACTGTTATACAAGCTGCACCCTCACTACTTTACACTGTTATACAAGCTGCTCGCTCACTACTTTACACTGTTATACAAGCTGCACGCTCACTACTTTACACTGTTATACAAGCTGCACCCTCACTACTTTACACTGTTATACAAGCTGCACCCTCACTACTTTACACTGTTATACAAGCTGTACGCTCACTACTTTACACTGTTATACAAGCTGCTCGCTCACTACTTTACACTGTTATACAAGCACACTACTTTACACTGTTATACAAGCTGCTCGCTCACTACTTTACACTGTTATACAAGCTGTACGCTCACTACTTTACACTGTTATACAAGCTGCTCGCTCACTACTTTACACTGTTATACAAGCTCACTACTTTACACTGTTATACAAGCTGCTCGCTCACTACTTTTCAGTCTTTAGAAATGAACAGTTCTTCTTTGAACACTCACCTCTGGTCCTGGTTCCTGTTTCAGAAAGCAGGCGTAACAAACTCTGAACTTATCACTGAGCTCTGAGTTGATTGAGCCTGAGATGTGAAACTGAGTTTTCTGTTTCATAACAGCTGATCAATATTAGTTAAATCAACTCTGAGTATGTTAAACCTGATGGCAGGGCGTGTGGGGATGAAAAAGACCCTCAATCATCAATGGAGCGATTCACCATGGTAACGGGTCAATAAAGGCAGAGCCTCCATTTTAATCGGGTGAAGCTATAAATATGAATGTATGCCAACGCGGACCATGAGAGGCTATTTATGTTAAAACGCAGGAAGGATGAATTCGTTAACAATATTTTATACAGCGTAGCTCATTTATCATTTACCAGACTGGAATTTCCTTAAATGCTGAAATTCTCCTACAGCCCATTACATTCATTTTAAACAGGCTATATTTATTCAGCCTCACAGCAAGAAGGTCGTGGGCTCAAACCCCGGTTGGCCCTGCCTTTCTGTGTGGAGTTTGCATGTTCTCCCCGTGTGTGCGTGGTGCTCCGGTGTCGGACTAGGTTAGGTGACCCTAAATTGTCCTTAGGTGTGAGTGTGACTGGTTGTGTGGCCCTGCGATGGACTGGCGACTTGTCCAGGGTGAACCCCGCCTTTCGCCTGATGTCAGCTGGGATTGGCTCCAGTCCCCCCACGACCCTGTACGCAGGATAAGCAGTAGACGATGGATGGATGGATATTTATTCAGCTGTAACCTGACAGGACAAAATGCCAGTGGCAATAACTGAAGATAAAAATATCGATCAAACAGATCCGAAACAGTTTAGGCTACTCATGGACATGTGATTGTAAAGTCACAGTCTGACCCCACATAACATGTGCTCAAATAGTGGTTGAAAGACTGAATCTGTAAAGCTATTAACCTAAAATAAATAGCCTGCGTTATATTAAAATTCATTTCAATATCCCTACCAAACTGCTCGTAATATTCAGCCTCACAAAAGAAAAAACTTGTTTATTTTAACGGCTGCGACAGGCAGTGTGAAACAGACTGGGCACAAAAATGCAAAACATAAAAACCCAAACACTGCCATCTCGTTCCGACTGTCCCTCTTTTCTACTGTCAGCAGACCAACCACAGACCGGTGTGATAGCAGCTTTATTATCTCAGCATGAAGCAAAAGATAAAAGTAAGCTAGCCAGTAAAGCAGAACCCGTCTGCTGCTCATACACAGACAAGAAAGGGATTTTTTACTGATTCATCGAAAGGTGAACAGTAGTTCGAGCAGAGGTGTGTTGTGGTGTGAAATCACAGCGGATCAGGAAATGATCAGACCCTTTGGTTATCACTATCTGGACCAGAGTTCCTGGCTGGTTCTGGTCCTCCACAGTCCTCTCCATCACCTTATGCTTCCATCTGTTCAGCTGAGCTGCTGGCTCGAGGCTCTGCCTCTCGGTTCTCCTCAAGTTGGTTTCCATGTGAGGACTCGCCACCACACTTGTGTTTTTTGAGTTGTTTACGCCAAGTGAATCTTCTGTCACAAACCCTGCAGCTGAAGGGTTTCTCTCCTGTGTGGATTCTCATGTGTACCTTCAAACTTGTCTTCAAAGTGAATGTTTTACCACACTCAGAGCAGCTCAGTGGTTCCTCTGGGTGGCTTCTCATGTGGGATGTCAGATAAAACTTTAGCATAAATCTTTCACCACAGACTGAGCAGCCGAATGGTTTCTCTCCTATGTGTAATCTCATGTGTTTCGTCAGATATTGCTTTATAGGAAATGTTTTCCCACACTCGGAGCAGCTGAATGGTTTCTCTCCTGTGTGAGTTCTCGTGTGTCTCATCAGATTATCCTTTGCATTAAATGTTTTCCCACACTCGGAGCAGCTAAATGGTTTCTCTCTAGTATGGATTCTCATGTGTCTCTGCACACTTCCCTTTTTAGTAAATTTTCTACCACACTCAGAGCAGCTGAAGGGTTTCTCCCCTGTGTGAGTTCTCATGTGTGACTGTAAATTGTGCTTTGAGTTATATCTTTTTCCACACTCAGAGCAGCTGAACGGTTTCTCTCCTGTATGAGTTCTCATGTGTGACTGCAAATTTCCCTTTAGGAAAAATCTTGCCCCACACTCAGAGCAGCTGAATGGTTTCTCTCCTGTGTGGATCTTCATGTGACACTGCAAATTTGCTTTTCGGGTAAATATTTTCCCACACACAGAACAGCTGAATGATTTCCTATCAGTAATGTGTGTCCCAGACATGACAGGGATGTCATCAGTGTTTGAACCTGAAGGGCAATTTCTGGTTTCCTCACAGTCATCATCACTGTCTTCAGTATCAAGTTTAGACGAGTCTTCAGTCTCAGGTTGTAAAGGTCTACCTGGATCAGAGTTCCTGGCTGGTTCTGGTCCTCCACAGTCCTCTCCATCAGCTTCTGTTTCCATCTGTTCAACTGAGCTTGTTGCTCGAGGCTCTGCCTCTCTGTTCTCTTTAGTTTGGTTTCCATTTGAGGACTCATCAACACACTTGTGTTTTTTGAGTTCATTAAACGAAGGAAATCTTCTGCTACAAACACTGCAGCTGAATGGTGTCTCTCTTGTGTGGATTCTCATGTGTCTCTGCAAATTTCCCTTTAGAGTTAATCTTTTCCCACACTCTGAGCAGCTGAACATTTTTTGGTCAGTAACGTGTGTCCTATGACTGACTAGGACTTCATCATTATGGGGAGAGTTTAAATCAAACTGATATTTCCTGTTGTCTTCATCAGTCTCAGGTTCAAGAGACTCTTCAGCTGAACAGTGTTCTCTGGTCTCCTTCCAGTAATCACTGTCAACACTGTCTACAGTTTTAAAAGATTCTTCAGTCTTGTCTTCATTCTCAGGTTGTAAAAGACTACCTGGATCAGAGTTCCTTGCTGGTTCTGGTCCTCCACAGTCCTTTCCATCAGCTTCTGTTTCCATCTGTTCAGTCTGGCTCTGATGAAGCTGTGAGGACTGAGGTTTCTCTTCATCATCTTCACTCTTCACAGGGACAGGAGTGAATGAGAACTTAGTGATATCAGCCTCCTCCAGCCCTGGAAGCTGCTCTCCCTCCCGACTGGTCCAGAGTTCCTCCTGTTCCTCCTTAATGTGTGGGGGCTCTGGGTCCTCCTGGTCCATACTGGGGTTCCCGTTTTCTTCAATGTGTGGGGGCTCTGGGTCCTCCTGGTCCAGACTGGGGCTCCACTCCTCTTTAATGTGTGGGGGCTCTGGGTCCTCCTGGTCCATACTGGGGTTCCCGTTTTCTTCAATGTGTGGGGGCTCTGGGTCCTCCTGGTCCAGACCTGGGACTCCCCACCTGCTGCTCAGGGGGAACCTCTTCTTTCTTCCTCGACAGCTGCTGGAAGTCTGTAGGACTCACTGAAACACAGACACATTAAGGAGAACTGTGAGTACACGCTACCTCATGGTGTAACAGCTTGCATATTAGGACCAGGTAGACTAGGTCAAAGCACTGAGTGTCAGTTTCCAACCTGCATAGACGCTGCGGTCAATATTACTTTATTAAATCTCCTTTTTCATAAGCGATGTTTTGGAAAGCCTTCTGTAGTATGAAGTGCAAAGATAACAGGTTCAAGCTGGCATCAGTCTGTCACATTGTGTTTCACTCCATGTCTAGATGAGGACGCTTAAAAAATAAATCTCAGTTAGCGCCGTTAGCCTGGCAGCTTGCTTAGCAAGCAACCAGAAAACCCACGTTAAAAATGAATTAAAGCTAAACTGAAATTGAAAACAGTCAAAACTAAATAAAAACTATAATGACCTTGTTCAGTTTAGTTCAGTCCAGTTTAGTTTTTTCACAAAACATTAAAATACAAGTACAATCACAAATATTTGTGAAAAGGGACACCGTTTTTTAAGCTATCTGAAGCTTGTACATAGGGGCCCACACACTAAGTAAATTATATATATTATATATGTATGTTTGAAGACTAAACACATCTAAATAAGTGAAGCAAATACAATATAGAGTATAATTTCTAACCTACATACAGCAAACCCTAACAGCAAACTATCCTAATCCTACTACCCAGTGGTCCCAAGAAATTCATTACATCAGTCTCTGTCATTCTTGGTTAAATAGGTAAAATGCAATAAATGGAGGTGATAGACAGCAAAGAAACTGGAAGATAGCAGAGGCCCCCCTTGGAGCCACAAACAACAGGCCTCTAGCACCCTGAAGGAAAGTATGACTGGAAAGCAGTTATAATAAAATCTAAACCTTTATTAATCAAAAACTAGGAATTAAAACAACGCGAAGCACAAAGAGACTGGCTGGCTGAGATATCAATGAGCCCCATAAAACACACACTAGCTGACATGTAAATATAATGACCAGCTGACACGTTAACCCAGCATTATATCCACCTGAAATGTGGGCTCATTTAGGTCCTATAAAATAAAACAAAAACTAAGGACATTTAGTCTTTCATTTTAGGTAGTTTTGCAATCCTACAATACTGTTTTAGTTGGTTAACGTTTTTTTTGTAAAGCCTCGTTTTTATTTTTATTTCAGTTAACGACAATGTTTTTTCACATCTACTTATTATCATTATTTCATGCATCTTCATTAACGATTATAACCTTGGTCTGCACAGAGTCTGCTTGACCTAGTGGGGGTGCAAAGCACAGCGCAACTGGCTACTGTAAACGGCAATCGATAAATAAACAAAATGTACTAAACTTTTCCCTTAATTGTGGACGTGATCCTGACTAACTCTTGGCTCATTTTAACTATGTGTTTTTTAAAGTGAAAGTAAAATGTGTTGCTGGAATAAACAGAACTGAATCCTACGAAACACTGAATGAAGCGAAGGTGGAGATTCGACTAATTACTATCCCGTCTGCCCTGCTGATCAATAACTACCTCATATCAAACCCGAAGACTAAAGCACGCCTGTCTAGTGTGATAGTATTCTGTAGTCAGGGTTTTTCCTGCATAGAGAAATTTTTGGTGCCCCCCCAAAGAGGTTCATGCGAGCGGCAAAGGAAAATCACCAGCGCCAAAATGATCAGAAATGAAAAAAAAAAAGGCGAATCAAATATTTTCTTATGGTGTTTTAATATCCATTTATCAAACAGCTGTTGAGCGAGCAGAACATAAACTTAAATACGACGTCTTGACTTCCAGCAGTCGCCTCTCCTCTCATCCACACCGCTGGATTAATAAACCAGCTGCTGCGTTGGTTTAACTGTGCCTGAACGCTCCGCCACGAAGCTCGCACTGCTGGGAGCGATGACTTCCTGTTCTTTCTAAAATATAAAATCCGTCACCGGTTCTGTCACTTTCACATTTTAGTCCCGGTCCTCTCCAGATCAGGTTCTCCGGGCACCACGTGACGCTCACCTGTTCCCGTTCTCTCCTGCCTGCTGATCTCATGCAGCCGTCTGCATTAGGTGCTCGTCAAAGTCCCTTTTCGTGAACCGACCAATCACAGGAGGAGGCGGGACATTAAATAAAGGTTGAGGCATCACAGCAAAACTTGTTGTTCTGGATGCACAGTTGTTATTACTGACAAGTTAGTACTCTGCATGAACAGATCAGAGTCTGACCACCATGTGGAGCGTTTTTCTTGCTCAATAATTTAACGACTGAAAACAACCCACAGAAATGAAACTGCTGTTTTGTCCAACTGGGATTAATATTAGGCTACTAATGGTGAGCTGTAGTAGCCTGTAGTATGATCTGGAATTATAATGAATAAAACATCAGCACTAATCAAATCAGAGCTGTATGCTGATATCAGAAGATGGTTTTATTAGTGAAACAGCTGATTCTCAACTAATAAACTATCTGTAGGCAGATTATCCAAAATAAAGTATCTGACCTATTTTTTGTTTAGCATCTGTACTATTGCAGATAGAATTGTTTGACTTACATTAGATTGAGGCAACATGTGATGCTTTTTCCTTTCTAATTTCAAATCACTATGGTAGAACAGCTAGCTAAACATTGGCTGACAGGGTCCAGGGTCTCCGCTGCCTTTACTCCCCCAGGTTGTGGACATATTTCATCAAATGGTCAGAAATAACAAGAAAATGCATAGATCTTGCTGGTGAGGTAATCATGTGCAGTCACCCCCCAAAGGCCCACTCTGAGCCAGTGATAGTATTACACAGATGCAGTGATCACTTCTGATGTATGAACATATCCTCTGTATGAATTCAAACTTTATACCTGCGAGCAGACTCTCTCCTCAGGAGCTTCTTTAGTTCAGGTAGAGAATCGTGAGCTTTTAATGGAAACACTTCGTACAGTTTGTTATAAAGTGTGGCAGCTTTCTCATAAATAACATCCAGTGTTTCTCTCACACAGACTTTAGCTGGTCGCTGTGTTTGTTTCTTTATGTGACCCCGGGAGATTCTCTCTTTGGCTGGTTTGTTTCACTTAACTCAGAGGTTTTCAAAGTCTGAGACTGTGAGAAAAGACGCCCCCTTCGCTCAATAACCTGGACACCTATGGGATCATCATTATGTTATTTGACACTCACCAACTGAGCCAAGATACCCTGATATTGTTTGGCAGTTTAAAGGCTGACATGACTTCAGACCTCACCAAATAAAGAAGTTTCTGGCTCTGATAAAGTGGGAAAAAGTAACAAATCTACTGTATTTCTGAACACTTTCAACAGGTGTGCTGTTCTATGTGATCTCTTTTGATAACTACTGTAATACTTTGTCTCTTCCATTCACTGAACCTCCCGCCTCGCACTTTGAAAACCCTGAACTCATTAAACTGTTTGTTGCTGTCAGAGTGAACAGAGAGAGAAGCAGCAGCAGAGAGAACCGACCTGCTCTGTGCAGCCGGACTTCAGGCTGGAACACCGCGTCCAGCAGCTTCCGGTGTCTCTGGTTCTCCTCTTTGGACCGACAGAGTTCCTGCTCGTACTCTGATATCGTCCTTTCAAACAGCCGCACTCAGTCACTGGTTGATAAAACCTCTCAGCACCTGGACTTTACTCATTTCCATCGCTCGAAACTTTTCTCCACGAACTCTGTTTTCACGCTAACTAGCACTGTGGCTAACTTCCGGTTAGCATGCTAAGCTACCTCCAGTAGCTCCGGAGGCTCCCGGGAGATGAGTCCGAGGTGAAGCCGGAGAGCAGCAGCTTTATCCGGACACACGGAGGCTCTGGCGGCTCCTCGCTGTTGGTGCCAGAGACTCTTTCTCAGCACAACAACGGGACAAAGCTGATCCGTCCCAAAGAGGCTGGAAGCTCCGCGCTCACTGGCCGAGCCCGGGAACCCGCCTCACTTCCGGGACGTGGCTTCAAAATAAAAGCCTCTGCGAGTTTTGTTTATTCTGACCATAAAGCATTTAGTAAACGCTCTGGCTGCTGCTGACATTACAGTTATGATGACTTGGGGACAGAGTTTAATTAGTGCTGATTCTAATCTAAAATCTAGGCATGAATCTACACCGAGCGGCAATCTGAAAAATGCTAGTTAGTGTTCCCTTTTTCAATCCCATAAACTCTCACGGTATTATGACTGTTATTATCATTTCAGAGGCAGCCTATTCTGATAGACTAATATCTCCTATCAAGGCGAGTCCAGATGTTTCACAGCACCTTTAGCGCCGTAACAGCATATTCTAACTTGTCATGTCCCATTAACATGGATGATTATGTAAATGTATGGAACTGTATATAAACAGGAACCTGTTTGTCTTTGAATTACAGAACAAACAAAAAAAATGGCCAAAACTTCATTATTTAAAAAACAAAACCTAACAAGTGCACATGTGTAACCAGTCTGAGTTTAGCAGCAATGATAATACTTAGATACAGAGAGCTGCAGTTTTTCCAAGTTAAATCTTGGTCTTCTATTATCCCGTATGAATTTGCCTAGATATCTGAGAAACTAGACAAACTGAAAATGTGTGTTGTTACAAAACTCAGTACAACATATGATGATGTTCAATCTTAAATCTAGTGATAGGGTCTACTGTTGCAATTGATTTCTCACTTTCTAAATTTAATGGAAATCCTGCTCTACAGTTAATGCTGCAGGTCCCCCAGGATTTTACAATGTAACTATTAACACAAGTTTAACTAATCCCTGTTGATCACCACAGTTTCCCACAAAACGTCACACATCAGCAAACTCACCTCTTTCTTACAAGTCGCAGCAGACATGTGTGATCCCAACGTTCACATTTTTTGATTAAAAAAAGGGCTGTGAAAACCACAGTCTGAATCTTCTTTACCGGGGGGGGGGTTGTTGCTGTTTGGCAAAACGTGTAGTATTGTGGTCGAACATAAAGGAAATCATGATTGACAAACACGACACATGGCAGAAACACATGGAGGACGTCAGACGAGACACTGAGACACAGGCTGCTGCATCCCGGTCAGCTGCAAGAAAGAATTGAGGTCAGCTGGTTTAAATACAGGGTCAGGCCTGCAAAGTCCTGGAGGGGCTGTTTAATGATTCTACTACAATTCTAAAGTTAAAAATATAACATCTACCTTTGCAGTTTTCACTTATTCCACAATAAATACCCCAAAACATTGCAAACTTTTAGAAAAGTTGCCAGGCATTTTATGCCGCTTTCCAGACCGGTAGGAACTGGGAAATGTCCGACTTCCAACCTCAAAGCGTTTCAGGTGCGTGATGATAAATGTAAACAATAAACGTGGCTGACCGTGACAAACTTATGTTTCTTTGGCAAGTTTCTGCAGTTAAACCCTCAGCAGTGCATTTGGTATTAATTAAAAGGACGGCCATTTTATAAATGTACGTTACTCGTTAACTGTGTATCCTTCTAGCTACACCAGTTGGTAATAGGGTTGAAACAATTCATCGATAAAATCAATACGCCTCGGCAACAGCACAACGGCGTCTGATCAGAAAGCAGCCGGTGTTCTGCCAATGGACCACAGACAAGGTAACAGTAACTTTAGCATTTAGCTGAAGTCCTGACTGATTGTTGAGTTGAAGCCAAAGTAAGCTGCAGTCCTCAGCTGAAAATGTGACCACGTGCGTTTGTTGTTCTGCTTTTTGGGCCGTGAGCTGTGACCTCACAGTCAGGAGTTAACTGGGTGTCGGGAGCTGCAGCTCTCTGTAGCTCAGATGATCCCTGCTACCTGCGTGTGCTGATCAGTCTTTCACCCAGATTATTTGTCTTTATAATAACAAACAGCTGTTTCATGTGCAGGTTCGCGTCATTTCACGTTTCACATCTTACATGTTTTCTTGACAAAACGTGGTTTGGAGACCAGCGTCGAGTGACACAGCTGCTGTCAGCTCGTGTAGCGTGTGACCCCCTGTCACCGATCAGTCACATAGTGCGAACGCCACAACGACTTCAAGACTGCCGTCATATAACGGCAAGTTGTGTTTCTGCCATCGGCCGACGCTGAAAGTCGCAAACAAGCAAAAGTACTTCTTAAACGACGCATCAATGAATCGTTGAAATAAGCTATAGAAGCTTTGAGTACTAAAATCATCGTTAGCTGCAACCCTAGTTGGTAATCCTCAAAAGTCAGCAGAAGTTGGAGGCTACATTTCCAAATGTTTTCACATTTCTGGGCATTTTTAACATTTTCCTGAATAACTTTTGGGCAGAGAAGATGAATTTCACAGATTGTTTACTGTAACCAGCTACCTGATAACATTGACAAAACATTTCTACATCAATTTACAACAAGTTTTACTATTTGATACTAGTATGTTTTATTTTAATGTAATACTTTACCTTTTAGTTTATGGTTTACCATTTACAGTGTGTGACGTCATTCGGCTGCTTGTGAAGTCGGTTCACAAGTAGGAAATCCAACTTTAAGTGGCGTTCATGGTACCTTTTCTAGTTGGAGGTCAGAAATTTCCCAGTTCCGAATTGCCTGGAACGCAGCATTAGACGCAAACAATAAAAAAATGGCCTGCGAAATCCTGGAGGGAGTGAATTATTAATTCAGCGTTCTGTCCCCACATCACCAGTCACATCACTTTACTATCCATACTGCTATCAGCGAGAGCATCAAACCTCCTAAATCTCTCGTAATGTTGCACTGGAAATTATGTAATGAGATTGTACAGAATTAAATATGCAGTAATTCATGCATTTATTTTAAATGAAAAAAAAACCTCAAAAATTTTCATTTTTTTCCTATTTTGTTCAGTTATGATGTAAGAAAACTGAGTTTAATTAGTGCTAATTTTCTTCAGCTGATGAAGAAAAAAAAAGAAGAAACAAATTGACATTGAACTAGCAACCCGCTCTCCTCGCAGTCTTCCACACATCTCTGCACTTCCAATTCAGCAGTCACCCAAAACTTAATTTTATTTATTCATTTATTTGTCAAAACCAAAAACACACTGTAACAGATTACAATAACATGAAACAGATGTGGGTTGCTACCTGAGGCTAATGTGCAACCCCCATCTTCCCTGGTTAGGCTCCTTCGCTTAAAAAAGGTCAACACATATCGTCATAACCAAAAAATAAATAAGCACATAATAAATAGTGACACTGCGCCGCCCTGCAGTCTTCACTTGCTGATCTCCTGGTGGAGAAGCTATTAGTGTTTGTTTTTGTCATGTATGGACAGCTGGAGCATTTGGTTTTTATCCATTATTTTCATTCCAATATTTTTTATTTTTTATATTGCTTATTTTATGCCACGTGCCTACAATGTTTTTAAACCACATCATTGTCTTGTATCAGAGGTTGCAAAGTAGTTCTCTCAATAAATGGTAGGTCAGATGGTAATATCGATTCCCACCCTATCGTCTCTAAATCTCTCACACTTCCAAAATCCTCTTTTTTCCAGTATAACACACTGGATGTCTGAGTTTAGCAGCAATGATAATACTTAGATACAGAGAGCTGCAGTTTTTCCAAGTTAAATCTTGGTCTTCTATTATCCCGTATGAATTTGCCTAGATATCCAAGTAACTTTCTAAAATCCTTTGTTGGAATATCAGATGGCAACATTTGGATAGGGTACAGTATTCTTGGTAAATCATTTATTTTAATCAATGCAATCCTACCAATACACAGAACATCTCTCTAAATCATTCTTAATCTTAGCTATTACTGGTACAATATTATGTTTTGTTAACTGATTCAAATCATATGGGATAAAGATACCAAGATATTTGAGACCATTTCTATTAATCGGGAATGGAAAATTTAATTGACCCTGTTGTAGTCTACCCATTGGTAGTGCAACTGACTCCCCAAAATTAATCTTATATCCTGAAAAACTGCTGAATCTGTTAACAACCTCAATAAGTTCTGGCAGAGAAGTACTAGGATTAGTTAGGAACAGCAAAACATCATCAGCATACAAGACAATTTTATGCTCATCTTGCATTGTTTTTATTCGACTAATTTCCTCATTGCATCTAATATCTTCAGCCAGGGGTTATATAATAAGAGAAACAGACAAACAGAAGTGGTGACAAAGTATTTCCTTGTATAGTACCTCTGTTATAGAAAAGGCAGGTGAGAGTATTCCATTAACCGACACTGCTGATTTTGGATCTGTATAGAGTAACTTAACCAGCTGAGTATATACTTCAGGAAAGGAGAATCTATGTAGGCCCTTAAAGATACCTCCATTCGATTCTATCAAAAGCTTTCACCACATCTAAGGTCACTATATATGAAATGCCTATGAAAACATGTTTTCATTCTTTTGATCAGTGGACCCTTACAGACTAAAATATAAACTATTGAGGAATTGACACATATTCAGACTTTATGACCGCTTCAAAGGTCAGGAGTCACCACTTCTTTTTCATCTCTTGTTTACCATGCAAACAATGTGTAGCACTAGCTGAGTCAGACTCAGAGCTTCAGGAGGTTTTACACATCCAGAGACCTATAAAAACAAGACCCGGCTTCTTATTGAGACATGCAAGAGCATTAGTAAAGCTGGAGAAACACAGAGAAAGTCACATTAGCTCACCAGCTAACGCTGAGCAGTTGCTAATGTTATCCGGTGCAAAGTTATATCGCTTTCCACATTACTTCACCAGCTAACGCGACCCATGTTACTATCCTGTGTACCACTGTTGATTTAGCCTGCAAGAAAGGATGTAACGGTAAAAAGCAAATGTGGAGCGATTTGTTTACCAACATTAGCCTATAGTGATGCAGCCACGAGCAGCCAGCTAACGCTACAGTAGCTTGGACCTGCCGCTGTTTGCTTCGAAACGTTCAGTTTAGGTTTATTTGGGTTTTACCGATACTCAGGTACACAGCTTCTCCACCTTTCAGTCGCTGTAACTAACATGACCCACATAATATACAACCCAGAGGAAGAGCCACTAACACTACAGTAAATTTACTTACTGCGGTCTGACTGTTATAAAGTGTGACACAATCTCATTATAATATTCAGTCCAGCCCACTAACCG